GGCGTCATTCTAGGAGACGCTACGGGTGATAATTGCGTTGATGACATTAATGAATTCCGATTTGACGTAGGTGGATAGTCTGAAGTAAAAGAAGGTGCTTCTGATAATGTAGTAGAAAAGTCTTCGTATGATGGAATCTCAGAAAGAGCTCCTGTAGTTGATAACGTGAATGATGAACCAGACATCCTCCGCGAACTCCACGGATGATCCATATTAGATGGATCGGAACCCATTCCAGGTCCACATCTCAAATCCAAAATTGGTACAGCCTCGTCGGTGGTATAAGCCTGGCCCATATGCATATCTGTATCGAGAGCTTGCATTTCCACTACATCGTCACAAGATTTCGTGCTCCAATGATCTGTGAAATCAAAGTCAGAAAAAGCTTTACCGCTAACGGAAATAGCATGGTTCTGATGTGATTCACGTTCCCCTCCTGATAATGGTGAATAGTAATCGTGCTGAACTGCATAGTTTTGCGGCAATCCGTCGTGCATTGGTTGCATTGGCATCGTCGAAGAATCCCACGCGGGTAAAGAATAGTTGTTTTGCCCTGACATACCATATGAGAACCCAGTCTCATGTATGGTTGCGGGTCGAGGTCTCGTAGTTGGGTTTGGTGGTGTTGTTGTTGACCACATCCCCAATCCAACAGGCTCTTGCTTCATAGATATCTCGTTGGGATTCATGGTAGAAGCTGCTGGAAATGATCGAGGGGGACAATCTCTTCTAAACTTATCGTTGGGATTAAAAGCAAAAGAAGATTGTGGATGAAATGAATGGCGGCTAATGTTAGATGTAAGTAAAGACGCTATTGTAAAGAGGAGCTAATGTTCTTACGATTGCGTTTGAATGGAACCCATGACCGCGGATCAGGTTCAATTGATTATAGTTAATGGCCGATTGACTATCAGGATCGTCGTCAGCGGTGGATAGTTTTGGAAAAGAAAAGTAATATATAATGATCCACCGATCCGGGGGGTCGGTAAGGTCGATGTATGTCCGGGAAGGATTATAAGGATTTGTATGTAACTTTACCAGATATGATAAGATCCGGGGGATGCGCAACTCTGATATGTATACGTAGGGAATGCGTAAAGTTTCCGGTGGAACGAAATTAAACAGCGATGCCTCACGATGAGGATATGTGGGTATGGTTACTTTGTGCCTGCAGGTAGATGGTGTCGGGCAGCGGAAATGAGTGTGATGAGTTGAGCTATGCACTTGGGAAAAAGTAATATAGAAACAAACTCGTTTGGTGATCGACGTAGCCTGGGTTAGAGTAGATGAGAGCCAGCTCCCAGTATATAGATGAGCAAAAAGCGAAATTAACAAGACCTTCAAGGAGTGACTGGTCAAATAGAACAGGAAGAGATGCGATTGGGACGAACGCGAAAAAGGTGGAAGAGGGGCAGTGCAGAGATCCATGAGGTATAAGAGAGGAAAATACTTGAAAAGGTCGAGGGACGCCTGTCGTGGTTTGCAGCCCTGCCCGGGATCGGGATGTCGTTGTTGGACCCATGCCAGCGTCGTTCCTGATACAAGCCAAATCTCACAAAACTCGTGTGGTCGAGGTCTGGAAAGTACGCTTTGCCGGAAAGGCTTGGCTTTGCATGGGTAGGTGAAGTGGGGGGTGGAAGGGGAAGAATGTGGTGGGAAGGACAGATGAGCTGTGCGAATAGGAGCTGAAGTCAGTGTTTGAGTGGGTAAGAGCAGTGAGCAATGAGTTCATTAGATGACTGAGCAAAGTTACACTTGGTTGCAGTATCGAAGTTGCAGGGCTGGTTGGGTCCAGCGACTGGTCCACTACCGCTGACCCATCATGGAAAGGCAATACTCGATGCGGGAAATTGTATATATGTGTTCATCCAGCAAGAGAGTTTAGAGGGATTACAAGTAGACGGGGGTGGCTTGTCTTGTCTCATACAGACGCCACTACACCTTAAAGGTGCAGTATCCGGGGTAAGGCAGGTAGGCTGAGTGAATATATGACGATGCCGTGAGTCCCATTTGAGGAAAGTCTTTCTTTTCCCCTGAAGGTTGGTAAGAGTTAGAAGCTACCATGGCGATGATGAAAGTGGTGACTTTCTTGTGACTGTGATACAAAGGATGTTGACCTGTTTCCAACCACTTTAGCTTCATGGGCTCACGGACTATCCCAACGGGGTGATGTAGTGATGAATTTGTAACGTCCAGAGTAACTAAAATGAGGTCTGTCAACGAGTCCGGGATCAATGGACAACCAATGATGGCCGAAGGCAGTGCCGAACAAGGGATAGTAGTAAATCCAGTTTAGAGTATTTTCGGAAGTGTGCGAGTGGGTAGATGTAAAAGTTGGGCCGTTTTAAGTCTCTTTTTGGCAGTGACTTGGATGATATGTGATATTGTGTTATGTTATGTAGTCTTACTATGGGTACGGAGGGAGTCCTGGCGGTATGGTGGTAGATTAATTGTGTGGGTAAGGATAGAGACCGGGATTTTATTTTGGTTAGACGATCAGGTGCTGTTTGAGGATCTTATCCACACGGGAACAGGGGTACTCCACGATTTAGTTGTACAGCAAAGCATATATATCAGCCCTAATATGATAAAATGTATAATACGAGTAGTTTAAATACCAAGTAATATATCTATTTAGTATGAGGAATCCTCAAGAAAAGGTTGGAGCAAAAGTATAAGGATGAGGGATCATCGATCAGGCAACGTACGGTAAAAGTTAAGTATATTGATCTGAGGTCTGGAATCTGGAATCACAGAGGGGATAGATATTTCTACGTAAGACTACATCGTATATGTGCAAGAGTACTCTGTACAATATAATAGCTTGGCTGATTATGTAGTATACAAGAGGGAAATAGACGAGAAAACTATCAATTATCGATAACCAATCATTTCTCAGTTATTTCTAATTTGATAACGGTTTTCAATTAACCATTTTCACATTTCGGTCTATTTAACACTGTAATCAACCCAAGTGTATGTATCTATTTTAAGCTAGATAGATGTACCGAATGTATTTGACGAGTGATGGGTGATTGATTGATTTGATTGATGGCTGACAAAAGCAAAAAGATATAAAAATAAAAATAATTATTGTCATTTTTAGAAAGCTAGCTCTTACTTTTTTCGCACGAGCGATAAAACGATCGATGCATCTAGCCACCCAGCCATCCATCCATTCATCATCCATCCTTTTCTCATACTTTGTTTGTTACTTTCATCGGTGTAAGATCTTGCGGGAGAATCGAGAAAGAAAAAAATATTAAAAATTGGACTGAATCAGTTTCAAACCTTACTATGTTTTGCTCGCTTTCCATCATTGTTTATAACCTCACCACTCCACAAAACGAAGCACCAGAAGCTAAACTTCCAAACTCACTTCAAAGTAAGTAGGTCCTCACTCATACAGGAACATCTTGGCAAGCGACAGGAATCCTATAGCTGGATTCCTTCACCCTTGTTACGAATCCATGTAACATGCATACTCGGTAGTGTTTGGGACCAGCATTATGAAACTCAATACAGGGGAAGACCCAAGTAGGAGAAGTAAGAGATTTGAACCAATTAACTTATTAAAGTAGACGTCCCGAAAGAACCGATTCTATAAGTGCTAGGGAAGTCTGAGCGTATAATGAAGCTAAAACTTCTACTCCGTACCTATACAACAGGAAGGGAATGGGAAGGTTACTTTAGATGAAAGGGAAACAATATCATGACATTCTGAAATAATGTATCCATTTAGTTTGTAACAAATGACTGACTTGCCCATATCTTTCTAGTTGATTTCATTCATTGAAACCAAGAAACCACTTTTGATTACTGGCTGGACAATCGAGTTGTTACTTGATCATCTACTAGGTAGTATATAAAGCTCTTTCTTCCTTTTCTTCCTCCCTTTACATAGATACCGACTGATGCCGAGAAACCTTGATACCTGTCACATAATAGTCGCCGACCCCCACCGTACATTCCCTTACATTATTCTCTTCCATCCCTCACTCTTGACCGGGATTCTGGTGATCGATTAAATGTCCGATCCGTCATACCTCAAATATACTGTGGCTTGCCTCAGCAGCCCTTCTCATCCCAGCTCATCGATCACAACTGACAGCACAGGTACAGATATTCAACTGTACTTCAATTCCATGTCAACTCGGCTGGCCTCACCGTTCCTCGCGGGCATATTTATATATTACCTAGCATCCGATCACTATGATTGACCGCTTCCGTGATGTACAATTCGTACCACGCCATGAGTAGTGAGACTTCAAAATGACAAGAATGAACAACAGTAAACGGGTATATCCCATTCATCTTCACAATTAGTTTTCACTAATTTACCATCTAACACGTTTCAACCTACTTCTTCCCAAAGAGGAAAACTTATCGAAAGCTGTCAAGAAGGATTTCTAGCGCAAGCTGATTTCAAATTATCATCATAATGTCCACTTCGCACTACACACACTAAGATACTAGGCAGCGAGATATCAATTTCCGGCACTCAAACTCACACACCTTTTCCCAAGTGGGTATCCAGATACTTTCCATCTAACAAGCTTCAATCTATTTTCACATCCTAAACATCTAATGACCTTCTTTTCCTCAACCAAACCTACAGCACCACTATAGTTTCACAAACAATTCTCCGCTATGACCTCCTTTTCATCCATCCGAAATCCGATCACCCGCTTCAATCCACTTTATCTCATCCACCCAGTACCTGTTTCGGGAATCAGCTGTTTCGTAGGGCAGGGTAGGGCAGGGCACGGTCAGCAGCTAGCTCTAGCCTCTAGCCTTTTCCAATCCACCACCGTATCATCCCGCGCCGCGAATTCTTCTAGAATTCTTCAAAACCCTTCTAGCAGATATTTTTTCCGTGCTAAACCTCACAGACGATGCATCTAATTTTCCGTACTAAACCTCACAGACGATGCATCTATCTATTCCAAACGGCCGTACGATTCTATCATCCCGTATCTTCACTAATAGACACCAATACCGCGCTAATATCACCAAAAATGCCAATTCTAAATCTACCTCGAACGCTATCAGACGACAACATAGCAATCTTTTTCATCTTTCTCAAACCGCAACTACCATCATAAATCATCATTCACACTTGGCTATCCTCCAAAAGCAAGATGAACATCATCCCATATTCCCACAGCCACAACATGCACACAATATCCCTCTCAATCTAGCTCTCTTACGGGACTCTCCCGTTTCCACCCAACCCATCCATCGCTTCAACCAGCAATCTCCAATCATGCATCTCAAATTCATTTCCACAATCTCCGCAATCCATACTCAAAATTCATGCAGAATGCCCCTACTGACTCGGCGTTAATCCTCTCTCTTTCTACCTAGGTAGGTTAAGAAATTCTCCATTAGAAATCTTTTATACATATCCATATCTATATCATACATCTAATATGAAGATCATTTCGCCCTATCCATTACTTACCCACCTTTTTATTCATCTATTCATCGAATTCCAAGGTCGGAGATACTGGGATTTTTGCTCCACTAGTATGGTGATGAAGACGAGGCGATGAGGGGCGAGATATCGATGACGCGGGTATGCGCGTATTCTCTCCACCATCTTTCATCATGTTCAAGTCATCAAGTCATGGTAGGTGACTTAGTTTACTTTATAGCTTATTGGTCTGTCTGTGATATATATAGATATACATCTACATGCCTAGGTACACATGAACATAGGTATACATATACATAAACATATACATAAACATAAACATACAAGTAAATCTAAATCCCAATCTTGAAAATCCCGTCCCGATTGACTGATTGATCATCAACCAAATCAACCAAATTAAAAAATTAGAAAATCCAAAAGTTCAAAGATAGACAGGGGGAAAAAAGCTCCAATTACCTATCTAGTAACCTCATCTAGTACCTAGATAATCTCAACCAGGCCTCAGTTTCAAATTCCTCAATTTCTAATCCCCTACTTTCAAGATTTCTTTTATTTGATTAACTAAACTTCAATCTTTCTCTTCTCTTCTTTCATATTTATTTTTTCTCCTCCTTTTCTCTCTCTTTTACAAGATCGTGAGTTCGGGATATTATTTTATTTTCATATATTTATATATATTTTAAAATAAAATAAAATTTATAATCTATAAAAAATTCTAAATTATACTCTTAATTAATAATCCTAAGTTATATTTATAATGAATGAATGAATAAATAAATAAATAAATAAATAAATTGTGACCAAAAGGGTGTTTATAGACCAGCAATTGTATTTAACTTAGAATCTACAGGTGAAGAGCACCTGTAGATGGGGATAGCTACTCTATATATACACAAATGAATGGCCTAGCCGCAATGGCTAGGCAAAAAGAAGTCGTATTTATTCCTCCAATGATCTTACTTTACCGATAACCATTGATACCTAGTACTTGTCCGGATCTGATCCTCAGGTCACCTAAATCGCATACTAATCTCGAGTAATCGTATCATGTGTGGACATGGTTAATGTACCTGAGGTTTCTTATATAATAAAGGTGGGAGGAGAGCAGGGATTTCCGTCACATAAATAAATAAATAAATAAATAAATAAATAAATAAATAAATAAATAATTCTAAGATTCTAAAATTACAATATTATAATTATTAATATTTATATATAATGCAGAATTTATAATTATTTTATAAGTTTTAGTATTATTTTATTAATTATATATAATATATATATTGTTTTAATCTAAATAAAGATATAATATTAATAATATATATTTTATTTGTTTTTTTAAAAAAAAGTTAATGATTTTATAGTTTAATATATATCTAATATCAAGATCGAGATAGAGATTGAAATAAACAAGTTTGAATAATCTTATCTATATTTATTCATACAAAATCTTACCCTAACAAACTAGTTAATTATAAAAGTAAAAGTCTGCAAAAAAAAAATTACAATAATAAAAGTATCATTGCCACATTCAAAGAGAATTGTATCCAGATACTCGGTTATAGCTGTGTTTATCCCATACGTCTACTGTTCTGATCATGCTACTATCGTACACTATAGACTATATCACATCACCACATCAAATCAAACCATATACCCTATCCGCTATCCCCTATCCAATCCCATCCCATCCCAAACCCTAGACTCCCAACACCAAAAGTAACACCAACACACCAACCCTATCATAGTCTACACAACACAAACCTACTCCCGATTAATCCTCCTCCAAACCTCTCTCTCCCCCTCACTCAACTTACTCCCCGCACTCCCAACCCACCTCTTCGCACTCCCCCAAATACCCCCCTCCTCACCCGCGCCACCAGCCGCACCATTCCCACCATTCCCCTCTTGTCCCTCATAAATATCCATTGCTCTCCTCTGATCACTACTCATTTCAGCCGCGTACGCATTCTGCACATATCCCGGTGGATGTTCCAAATGTTCCATATGTTCCCTATGTTCCATCTGTCCCCTATCTTCCAAACTACGTCTCTCACATCCATATCCATGTGCATAACCCTCCTTATCCTGCTGTGCAAAAGGAGCATATGCCTCCCTAACAGAAACCGGTTGAGGATGCATAGTCTTCGCTGCCGTGACCGCATCAGCAGTCACCGTAGAAGAAAACGGTGTGCGAGTGATACTTGGCGGCGGAATCATCATTTGAGGAGGGTATGCTGAATTATTCTTCTCCATCCCCACTTGCCCCACACTTGTATTTTGTGGCATCGTAGTAGACGCATCGTTACAAACTGCATACGAAGACCCCGCTCTCGGAGGTACAGTTTTAGTTTGCGACGCAGACCTATTTTCCGCGAACCCAGTAGTCGGCTTAGGAAAAGCAGCTGGTTGCGGTGCAGGAGGTACGTCGGAATCATCTTTTATCGTGCGCGTTGGCTGTAATTTTGCGGTTGTGACTGCTGCAGCGGGGAGCGCGTAACGTTGAGAATTTGAAAGCCCGGTAGGAAGGGGTACGGCAGCTGCGGGTTGCGCTCGGGGATACGAGAAGGATGAAGATGATGTGGTGGTGGGGTTATGGTTGCTCATAGGTTCTGATGTTGATGCAGGTGCGGCTGTTTGAGAGGTTGTTGGAGGCCCGGTGGGAGGGACAGGGACACCCGATCGCGCATTTAGTGGTGCATTGTTATATCGCGGTATGCCCGACATTTCTTGCGAATTAAATGGACTTTTGAGATAATGGGAAGATATCTATCAGGTTCCTGAATGACACGCGGAAGCTATCCTTGGGATAGATTTCTGCAGGATCGGAAGTTCTTGATATTGAAGTAGATGAGAGGTGAAGGAAAACTGGTTATTGGTAGGTGTACAGTTATTGTTGTTATTTAAACTGGGTGTGATTGGTATTCGTAAAGCGGAAATATGTAAGTTTGACAGGTTGGTTTGACGAAGTGGTTTAAGTTGAAGATGTTGTATCTTTTATGTTGTTATTGCCAGTAACCTACAGTGCTTTGTGTTTTGTGTTTTGGAACGAGAAATGGGTTATGTCGTTTTACCACCTGTCCATAATTTATTCCGACGGGTATTCAATTTAGCACGGCACGGAGGTGTTACTCATAAACCGTCGTGATTTTTAATTCGGTAGGGAGAAAAGTAAGTGTTAAGTGTTGATACCGGGAAGTTATTGCAAAAAAGTATCTGCAGAATGAATGTATCATCATTATGTTGTGATGTGATGACGTTCGGAATAGACAAACAGGGGAAGATGATAGATCTAAGATTACAAAATGCCTCGGTCTATCGAGTCAAGCTGTCGATCAAGGTTGGCTTGATGATCATCTGCTCCGATTGGGAAATTTATTGAATATTTTATCCCTTCATCAATTTATTTTCCATGTAAGACCGACTACTTTGAGACTACTTTGATCGACTACTCTGTACTTCATCACAACCCATCCACACCCCGTGCTCAAGTCCATTACCTCGAGCACAATATACCTACGTATAGAGTATTACTTTCAACCCAGCCAAGTCTACCAACTTACATACACATTTGCTCCCCTCCCATCCATCCATCCATCCTATCGGAAGCAGATATACTTTTCTTCAACCCTACCCAGCAACCTACCAAGTTACTCCCCTCCATCCACTTTCCACATCTCCAAAAGAATACAAGGTACGAGTCCGCATCCTAACAATGAGATATGACCGATTCATCCATATACCGATATCAAAACACCATCGGAAGATGCTTGAAAATCGAAGAATGGACTCTCGCATATCAAATTCATTTGCATTTCTATCTATTTCCATTTCCATTTCCAGTCCCATTATCACATCAACTCGGAAATCTAATACCTGTAAGTGTACATGTACATATAATCCGCCTGTATCATGTAAGGTTATCATGTATCACAACAAGAAACGGGGAATACCATGATAATCAATCAATCAATCAATCAAATAAACGCCTAAACAAAATCACATTATCAATCTCAAGCACATAAGAATAAAATCCCCTATATCCCGTTCCGAGAACCTTGTATAACCATAACCCAGATACTCGAGATTTATTGATCATTCAGATTCCATCATTCCGAAAGTTTAGGAGACTTTTTTGATGGGTTCTAGGATCTTTCTATTTCAACCTTAATATAGATATCTACCTACCTAGGTAGTACTTACTACGTACAGAACATGTGATCTCTTGATTGACTTGAAAGAAGCGTGGTTGAGATGCTTTGTTCAACTAGAGGTTGTTCGACAATTGAAGAGGTATATATCTTTCAGTACTCATGAATTGTTGACGAAATGGAGGTAAATTTGGGGTTTGTGCTGGCTATCAAACCAAGGTAACTAACTAGTGAAGAAAGCTAGACTTACTCCGAGCAATAAATCCAAGGACAAAGAAATGGAAGAAAGCCTTCAAAGGAGGTCGGAATTTGGTGGATATATACAAGTAATGCTGTTTCCATTTCTTCAAACCTTTATACACCGAAATAATAAATCTCTCAACCAAAACCTCGCAATTGAAACCTTAGAACCTCATAATCTGGAATAAACATAAAAATCTCAAATGATTCTCGAGGACTTTATAAATATGGCTATAGCTGCAACTTTGGGTTTCAGGAACTTTTTATCCTCCTTGATAGACAAATTCAAGCCCTCTGTCGATACATACAATCTGGACGACGAGATTGTCTACAATGATCCAAATGCATGCCCACTACATGGCTACTTCCTCGAATGGCGCACATGCATACACTACGATATCATCGTGCTTAACGGTCGAAATTCAGTAGCAAGTTTCGTGGACCTCGGCCCCGAAGTTAGCGGAGTCTTTCATCCAAATTACGCAAACAAGGGGCTCAAAAACCGGCCGACCCTACAGCCGAAAGCTGAGCGTGATCAACAGCGTCCTAAAGCCCCGGCCATCTCCAACGCCTACGCCCACGCGGACGATACATATCACCCCACTACATCTGACGGCCGCAACGATTACTCTGAGAGTTCTGTATTAATTCACAACGATGACACGTTTTCTGACGAGGAGCCAACAGCAGAGCTTCATTGGAGACGCAATCGTCTGCAGAAAAAGGCGAGGAATAAACCAAGGACCAAGACAGGTGGTGATGAGAATGACATAGAGAATTTTTCATTTCCTAATGAATTATCTTCGACTTATCGATACGAGAAACTTAGATGGGCCGCGAACCCAAACCACGCGGCCATTGGTCGACATGTCAGATTTGCAGCATAGGCTCGAGCAAGGCATCCCAATGGAAGTGTTGATATTGTCTGATAGAGGGCCTGGATCGACGGGCGTTGGGAGTAGAGACCAGAGTATCTGCGATTATTCTTCGGCCAATAGTAACAATGGCCATAACAATCTACAAGGACTTTAAACTCCAAGTGAAATCTGTTCAAACGTATCTGAAGTGAAGATAGCGATGTCGCAAACCAAGATAGTGAGCTCATCGATATTTTTGAGCTGTTATGCCTTCACGGTAGATTCCAGTTCCAACTCCAATGACCAGAAGTACCGCATTAAATATTGCCATCATGTAAAATGGAGCACCCGTGGAAAGATTATCGAAAAGGTAACCGCCAAGTTTTGTGAGTAGTAAAATCGCAGCACCCCCAGATAAAGAGTAGACACCGGCTATAGATCCTTTGAGGTGATTTCGTGATGAGGTCTCACGTATTGATGGAGATGCAATGAGTGGTGTTCTTTCAGCTGTTGTATCGTGCAAGTCTGGATTCGCATCGCTTGCTGTCTCTTGAAGCTGAGAAGATAAATTGTAACCACCTTCATCACCAAGGACACCTCTTCCTAGTAAACCAAGACTACAGACAATCTATTCAAGATGTTAGCTTGGTACATAACTACATCCAGATGCGAAAGTCCATGTATCATCGCCCAGAAGTTTAAAGATCGAAAATAAGAATTTGCACAAAGGGACTTACAGCTCCTATCTGACTGATGCCAATCAAAGCGACCAGAAGAAATACTATAGGACTTCCTCCTCTGCCATTAATATCTTGTGGTTCAGGGCTATCAAGCTGGGCAAAGCCTATATATCCAATTATACCAAAAACGCTCGCTGTGAGAAGTGGTACATTGAAACGACGGTAGCGATCAGAGAAATAACCAAATAGCGGAGCACAAAGCAAAGCGATTAATTGGGATGCTCCGGTCAATTCGGCCGCAAGAACATATGCCCTACGACATTCTTTCTTGAGTTCAGGTGATGGATCGTTGGGAGATCCTTGGCAGAATCCACGGCCAATGAAATATGAGTTAATATAAAGTGGAATAAAAAGCGATATCCCAACAGATGATGCACGTGCGACAAATCCTCCCAGATATCCAAGACCAATTTGTGCATCTTGAAATCCTAGGATTGTTGAGTCTGAGATTAGTCTCCAGTACGGCTGAAACTTCTCCGTGTCTTCACGTCCTCCATGAGAGTGATCCCCATCCGCAGTGTCTCTAACCATTGGTCTACCGAGAAGTAGGCGCCACCCTTTACCTTCCTCGCCTGCCAAGCCTCGAAGACCAAAAAAGCAGAAGCAAGACACCATAAGTGATACAAATCCAACCACGTAGAAACTATCGGCCACCGCCTGGCCTTGAGAAACCCCCTCCATTCGTGAAAACTGCGCTGGCAATGGCAAAAATACTATTAGTGCCACGAGTGCCCCGCAGCCTGTAAATACACCGACCAAGCCGGCTAACCGCGGGGGGCTCGATCCATTTTGCTTCGTGGCTTTTGAATAGTCGCCAGGGGGATTCCCACGTCTATCATTATAATTGGTAGGTGTTATGGTGACTTCGGAATCTATAGAATCAGTCGCAATACTATGGCGGACGTTCTCCGGCAATGTTGATCTCGAAATAGGGGCACTGTCCGAATCATCGGCCTCTCGGGCTGTCATCGAAGGTAGGATTGCGGTCACCATGGTCGCACTTCAATCTCGGTTAGTATGCGCGTATGATGTCGCTCGGGATAGACTCACGTAGCAGCTCCCCCCACAGAGAAGAACAATCTCGCAAGCAAGAGCTGTGGGAATACATTCTTTGCTTGCACGAATAAGATCAATGCAAGGCCAACAATAAGATACCCTAGGACGCAAACCACCCGAACACCGAGTCTATCGCTGAGGATTCCCCACGCGGGACAAGCTAGTAAAGCAACGACTTCATCCACAAATCCCTAACCAATGCGTAAGTATTTTCAATTCTTAAAGATAATTGACTATCAAGGGGTCGTACGAGAGTTCCCACCAGATCCCCCACGCCTTCTTTTACTCCAATGAGATCAGTGATGACGAATGACACGCTGCTATTGAGGAATACTAAAAAGGAGATGGAAAAGAGACACACGGCCAAGAGATAGGTCACCGCTTGCAGATCTGTTGTCCTTGAAGCAAACGGGAGATATCTTGACAGTGGCATATTTTCCCCGAATCGTGTGTATACCGGGTAAAGCGGAAAATTATCAATAGCAGCTGGTTATCATTACCTGATAATTCAAGGAGGAATGTGAGCCCTGTTCAATATCCAGATAAGAGGAATTGCAGGTTGCAGGAAGTTATCAAAATAGCTATATGAGTACTAGGCGGGTAGTTGGGCAGTACGGAGTATGAGCAGTCGAGCAAGTATGAAGTACAATTGGAGGTGTAAAACGCCCGTGCATCATCCGCAAGATCATACTCCGTACGGAGTATAGCATATTGTTTCCGCATTGAATCACTTTGCCATAGAATCCATCTCGGATGGCTTATGTAATACATAATATCCAAGCACGCTAGTTAACATTCATATGTACTGAGTATAATGTTTTGCTTTTGATTCGAATCGCGGAATTAAAAATCACTGCAAAAATCTGACTACCGGCATTTCCATTACTCTACTCAAACAGCCCTTACATACGGTACGGTACGGTACGGTACTCCATACTCTACGGAGTATAAATTGGGTGCTAGATGCATGCATCAGGAACTAACAACTCATACATTCAGATACGATTTGCCGATCCTATGTGGCCTCCAAGGCTGATAATGCAAAAGTTCAAAGCTTAAAACAAAATTCTGCAGCCACTTAAGGTACCACCGCCACACCTCAGATATTTTAAGGGGTTCCCCCTCCCATGTAATTATTTTATAATATATCATCTCGAATAGCACATCAGGCAGGACCTTAGCCTTATGATCAAAACCCCTTCACCGTTCTTAGCCGAGCCGAGCTCGAAAACAACAATTTGTCAACCGCGGACCCCCATTTTGTCATAAACAAAACATCCATTGATATGACAGTACTTAGATACCTGCCTAGGGCTATTCAGACATGTCATCCGTTTTTATTTTTTGGTTATTTCTTGACATCATAAGATTATAATAACCAACCTAATCTATGGTCGAAATTCTTTACCCTTGAACTGAGATGGTGTCTGATGACGATGCTTTCCAATAAATATATCGACGGTTATTCTAGGCCTTTGCAGATTCTCCACTATCGAGGAATTTTTGGTTATCTATATCCGCACTCGGCAAGACTGTTCTCGGGATGCCGAAGAAATGGTGCCCGAAGCCGATCAAAAGTCGGAACATCTGAACGGCATGTTTTACGTTCCTTTATGTTTTGGCTGCTAGCTAGGAGGTACCTTTTTCAAATACCCATTTTTCAGGAAAGTAAGCCCAAGATTCCAAAATGGTGCCAAACGACCGGAATGAATTCGAATGAGGGTCCGTTGCATCTTGGGTATCACATAAGGAATGACATGGATTTAAGTCAAGAATATCAGTTCTTCCCTCCCACCCTTGTTTTTGATCCTGCGTATGCGTAATGCGTATGATCATCAAATGATTGCACGTTCATCCCACATATGCTGCATTGCTGCAATGATGAATAGGTGGACGGACCATGACATTATACGAAATCACCCACCTCCTGCAATAGGTACGCATTATGCTTTCATGTTTTTTGGACACCGCTCTCTTACCCTACTTCTCTTTCCTTCCACACTCTTTTCCATAATCTATCATGCAGCTGCAGCTGCAGTGTTGCATAAATATGGCCGCGTGATTCATGAGCTGTTGGGCCGCAAATCAGAAATTCCTATGTAGACAGCTGGTAAAGGAAGGAAGGACTTGGGCCGGATCGTCGTACAGATGAAAAATGGTAGGGTAGCAGGATGGTGGCAGGCATGAGTTCATGGCCAGCAAGCATCAGAATAGAAAAAATCACCTTCCGTAAAAGAAATACAGTGATTACTCTTACCTGCAGTTCTCGTACCTTAATATGGCTATGACACGAATAGAATGGTTTGATGTGATTTGATTTGATTTGACCCTCCCCAAAAAATCATCCCACCATCCAATGGAGAAAAAGAATGGACAAGTGAAGTTATTGATATGTTCTGGCATGATTTGAAAAAATGGAAAATTCATAGAATTATTTTACATTTATTGATCGGAGGGATTTGAAAGTACCACCAGTACCTAGGATATTTCTCGCATTCTATGGTATGGCGAGATGGAATCAGCTGATGAGCATGAGTACGAAAACGTTTCAATAAATCAGACCCGGTTGGCTACCGCTTTATGCAGAGATCTAGATGTCACGGCTTCGTGCTCTCCTTCATTGAATCTCAAGAATGAAATTCTGTACTGCTGCCCAGTTGACGAGAACCTGGCTACGACTCGTACAATGAAGATGCTGTATATTAAACTAAAAATTGAGTTGTACCGTACGACCACAAGTATATCTCTGTACCAGGTTTTCGCAGAATACAAATTAACCGACTGTTACTACCGCCCCGATATGTGCAATATGGCATGATGGACAAGATTCACGAAATGGAACATCTCGGCAACCTACCTATCTCACACTTATATCCCTTTTGGACGTTTTCGATGTATCGCATGGTTCCTGCACTCGATCTAGGGATATTGCATCACCTCATAAAGCATCATTTGGAGGTCATTGGGGAAGAAAAAAGGTCCCGAGAGGATACAGAGAATACAAAAACCAAAGGACTACGGATCTATACAGTTTCGATTTGGGGGCGTAAAAATCCCAATAATGGGTTTCGCACTTGAGTAACGTGAAGAGGAAAAATGATCAATCACATTTTACGATCTCTAGGCGTTTGCACAATCCGACAGCCTCTAAAAGCTGCAAAGGTATGCCACTGACTACATACATGCATTGTGGAAAATCTCCTAATAGGTTCTAAGGTTCACACACCCCCTCCCCCATCCTTTCAGAGTTACAATTGCAACTGGATGGAGCTTCCCCCGTTGCTCTAGCCTCTTTAGCCTTTCGCATGGCTGCTAACAGGAGATAGAAAAAATCAAATCGAATCGAATCGTATCATTTGAAATCAAATGAAATCATATTGAACCAACTGGCTAGTATAGTTGTTGCCCGTCCCTTGCCCTGGCTGCGTTCATCGGACAATCGACCGGATAATGAAATAAAGTAAAAGAAAAGAGAGAAAAGAAAATAAAGAAAGAAATTAAAACAAATCAAATCAAAATAATATAAATATGAAATAACTCTACAATCACCGCGCGTACTCAATCATGAATCATATCATGCTCATGCACGCAAGCAAAGGTACGTACTAGGTAGGTCTAGAAGTTTTGGTTGGTCGGTATCGGGAAGTGGAGAACATGTTGATAGATGATACGGTACCGTAACGGATCAAGGATAAAGTAGAATCAAGGATAAAATATGGAAAAATTCGGCTTTTGATCCCAATCCCACTCCTAATCCAAATCCCAATTCCCAATCTTTCAATCTTCAATCATATTGATATCGTGACCACATCGAATCACAAATCTGTCTATTCCTGACAAAGAAAGCAGGTCACCCTTCGGAGATCTTCATATCCATAGCAACAACGAGACAAAATTTCCTCTCCCCGGCTCATTCTAAGCAATTGATATGGTAGGCATCCCATTGGAGACCGGCTATGGGCTCCCGGCTGCATATGTGGCCGGCGGTCGTGCCTCCTCAGATTTACGTGCCTCAAGATATGCTCATTTGTGCCATCGCCCATATCCCCGGATCATATGTCTCTGATGAAAAGACATATGAGCTTTACCCGGCTATGGTTAGGGGAGTAAGTGCGGTGAGCGGTCACATAGCAGCGCATCGAAATCTAACACTCGGATGAGACTTTTGATTGACACGTCTTCTTGGCTCGAGCTCGTTCCTTTGTTGCCAGACATTCTTCTTAACATTTTCTTGCTCATGCTAATATGCTAATGCTCTCATGCTAATGTTAATGCTCTCATGCTCATGCTCATGCTTCCCTATCATACCACTCAATCGGGTCAATTCATACAGCACACATTCCTTTCTCCCCCCCTTTTTCAATCATTTATACCGAAATATTTTTTAATACACTTTCATACTAACCACATTGGTGAACAGCTAGTCATGAAATCCTCTAGCATTCCTCTAGTCTTCCATCTAGCTAATAACTAATACGTCCGTTGAAAGTTTAACGTCACTTTTTCATCCGAGTTTAGCGTCAGGACATGCCTTCATCGGTCCACCCCCACCAATGTAAAGCAAAACCTCATCTCTCGCGCCCTGTTGTCCGTGGAAAAGCAAGGATTTCATGCTTTTTTGATCCAGATCTTCTTCCTATTCTCCAGTGAGGCCAATCTAACTAAAGGCAAGTTGCATCTAAGTTTGAATCCACTTTGATCGATTATCACCCTATCATATCTTTCTTGTTCAACTCGTTCACTCTTTCGTACTTCTCACCTCTCACCCAACTACTCTCATCTCCACTCCGGAATCTAGCACTCCCTCGACCCAATCTTGTATGCCCTGGCCCGGTTCCTGTTGACCCATCTAGGTTTCTTCCTTCCCTTCCTTCCGTCATAGTGCTACTACCCGTATGCTGTCTTGACCATATATTAAGGTGCCTTTTCCCATCGGGACTTCCGAATCTCCTTTCTATCAAGTACTTCCCAACACTACTTTGCATATCCCTCACCGACTTTGATTCCTATATATCAGGACTTGGAACTCATGAACATACCTGTCGTCGACAATATATTCTACTTGTCTACATCTACATCTACATCTACCCCTCATCTCATCTCATAACCCCATACCCTACTCTCTAGATATCATTCATTCATCATGTCGCCAGCTGCCATCGCAGAACCACATAGTGAAGTGTATGTCACCACCACCAAGGCGGTGAGCAATGGATCTTCATATATGAGTGGAGGAGCTGTACAAGGCATGAAGAGAACTACATTCCTGTTTGATCGACATCTCCACAAAGAATTCCCAGTCATCGTAGGAGGAAGTGGAAGTAATCTATACACCAAAGACGGACGAGTCATATTTGATGCTACATCCGGCGCCGCTGTTTCATGTTTAGGACATGGCAACAAGCGAGTCACCAATGCCGTTTACCAGCAAATGGCGTCCGGCATTCCATACCTCGCCTCAGGATTCTTTGGTAATGAGACCGTGGACGATCTTTGCGAAGAACTGATAAATGGCACTGGTCGAAAAATGGCCCGAGTCTACTTGACTGGTTCAGGTAAGCTACACCGTCAACCGTTGACGTGACCCAAGCTAATCAATGTAGGATCCGAGGCTATGGAAGCCACATGTAAATTGGCACGACAGTATTTTTACGAAAAGGATAAATCCACACCACGAGTCAACTTCATTGCTCGAGAAGGTTCATATCATGGCAACACCTTGGGCGCATTAGGCATGTCAGGACACAAAGCGCGCCGCGCTCCTTACACCCCCTTCCTGATGCCCAACGTCCATCACGTGTCATCCTGCAACCCCTACCGGCAACGACTCCCCAACGAATCCGACGCCTCCTTCGTGTCGCGCAAAGCCGCCGAGCTCGAAGCCAAATTCCAAGAACTCGGCCCGGAAACCGTCATCGGTTTCTGCGCCGAACCAATCGTAGGTGCTGCCCTCGGCTGCGTGGCTGCTCTCCCTGGCTACCTCAAAGCCATGCGCGACGTATGCCATCGCCACGGCGCCCTCTTCATCCTCGACGAAGTCATGTGCGGCATGGGTCGCACAGGCACTCTACACGCATGGCAAGCCGAAAACGTAGCCCCTGATCTACAAACCATTGGTAAAGGACTAGCCGGGGGATATCAACCGGTAGCCGGTGTTCTCATTTCGCAAAAAGTCGTCAATGTTCTTTACAACGGCACAGGCCAATTTATCCACGGCCAAACATATCAAGGAATGCCCGTGCAAGCTGCCGCAGCTCTAGAAGTCCAACGAATTATCCGCCAACACGACGTCCTAGAAAATGTCCGCACTCAAGGTGCATATCTCGGCAAACTCCTCAAACAACACCTGGCAGATCATCCAAACGTGGGAGATATCCGCGGTAAAGGATTATTCTGGGGCGTTGAATTCGTCAAAGATAAGAAAAGCAAAACGGCGTTTGAACCCAAACTAAGCATTGCGCAAAAGATACACGACCTGGCGATATCCCGTCCATACAACATGACCATGTATCCCGGAACTGGCACTGTAGACGGCATGTGTGGGGATCACATAATGCTATCGCCGAATTACCTAGTTACAAAAGAAGATGTCGAATATATTGTCAGGACTACGGTGGAAGTGATTGAGTCTGTTTTTGAAAACCTGTAGCGCGCAGGTTTATATTTACGTGTTTTTGGCTTCTGGCTTCTAGCTTTTGAATTCGGGCTTCGGGGTTGGGGGTTTATATCTTATACTTTGTTTTGCTCTTTGGGGTGCTTTGCGAAAGGATGGTATTGAGTACAAGAGGTTGGGTTGGGTTGGGCTGGGCTGGGGAATGGAGATTGGGAGATTAGGACATTCGGAGTTATATTGGGTATTCAGATGGATGGGGATGAATTTCCCAAGTGCTTTTTTTCACCATTGGTTTTCCCAAGCAAACTTCAAAGCTCTTCTGTGTTGAGCAATATGGGATGTTAGTTTGGCGTGAAGGAGAATCTTCGTTATATGGTAGTATATTCTTCCGTTACATTCCTCTATTCCGAAGGCGTTTGCTGCATCAGCGATAAAGATATATATGCTGGAAATGCTTTCTATCTATATCCTGTATCTTATCTACAGAAACCAAGGCCGAATAAATTAAAAATGATTATTCTCATGATGTGCGTACATTTTCTTTGTTTTATTCCATCACAAAATTGTGATGTCTGAAATGAGTGAGATGAAGTACCTTGCAGATGGCATCTGCACCATGATTATCCCGTGTACTATACCTTGTCCAACTTCCTTGAATGCCGATCGGTAGTGGTATTGTAACTCCTTTTGTCCTGAGTACCGTAAGGTTGGAATAGTTTCCCATTTGTCCGATTGTCCATGACGCCTATGTCCCGCATTTATATTTTCCGGAACTCCATGCCAATCCAGTCCTTGAATGACCCATAACCCTAACATCTTGACTCCAAAGGAAAGCCGTGCCTGAACCTCCTTTCCAATTTACTCCTTCCCGTCCATTTTCCAACCTTGTATCTCAAATCTTATGCCCCGCCCTTCCGCTCTCGCCAGCCCTCCCAACCTGACCTCGCCATCTCACCCACCACCTACTGACCTTTTAACTACTTTCCCTCAGTATCATCAATAGTAGCCTCCATAACCATCTTAATATCCTCCCCCAACTCCGGAAACACCTTCTCCATCTCCCCAGCAAGCACATCCCTAAAATCCCCAAACGCTTGCATCTTTCCCCTCATCAATTGATTATTTTTCCTCGCCAACTCAATAAACTCTCTCGTATAAATATCCGGATTCCTGCCGTTATCCACATAATGTATTACATCCCCTGGAATCCATGCGAGGTTTGTGCCTTTTCCCGCTACCCTATCGATTTGGGGATTTCCAGTTGGGGGACCGGCGGGAATAGTGGTGCGGGAAACCGTTTGTAGGGAATTTGAGAGTTGCAGGAGCGATTTTTCCAGCGTTTCGCGAGAGGGTCGTCCGGCATTGTCATAGTTATGCGTTTGTACCATTATCTCGTACAAGTCTTGAATGACATTTTTGATTTGGTCTATGAATGTTAGTATGATGAATTAGAGAAGATGGATTATAGAGAACCTACTCGCTACGATATTGTGATCCGCATTATTGACAGGCGCCATTTTTGCAGATGATTTGGTGTAGAAAATGGCTCAAGACACTGTTGTATGCTTGTGATTGAGAGATGATGGAAGCCTCATTGATGGCCATCAAAAGTGATTACATAAGCTTGCAGAGTGCCAAATTCAGCCTTGCTGCAAGGCTACGAGAACTAATTCCCTCAAAGAATCTGATACCCAAATTACTAGCGATTTATAAATTACTGGCTACACAGATCTTTATATCTCCTTATAATCTATAGAAGTGCTAGATTGGAAAAGTTTAATGCTCGTAAAAGTAATAAGTCTAGGATTGATGCAAGAAATCCCCGGTAGCTTTTCCAGTGAGCCTTCTTAACAACTCTACTCCCGGTGAGCGGTTTCTCAACTTTTACTCCAGGGACGTGACCTTATGAATCCGCAGATAAATCGTTTCATAAAGATCCGACTTCGATCCACTTCATCCACAGTGTGGAAGTTTGAAGAAACTGTTTCTTATTAGGATTCAAAGTATGGCGTCGTTGATTTGGTTGAGCTGGGTTGTTGTGGATAATATTTTGTCCTCAGTGGACAAGGTTCCGAATTGTGTTTTGATATCAGCTCAACGCAAAATTTCTATTACGAGGTCATGTATATATAAACTTAAGGTCAAAATTTACAGAACAAAGTTGAAACTCCTTCATAGCAGTGGGACGTGATGTTGGTGGTAAAACTAACTAACCTTGGTTTCGAGCTGATGTATTTCTGCTTTCCTTGTAGATGTAAGATTATATCAATAAGGAGAAATCGTATGCATCATGCTTTGAAGTTAACAAGAGCCCATGCTTCCGCGATACTTGAGCGGACTTCCAATGGCAATTTCGCATTATGTAGTACTGGAAAACTTCAGGTATAGGCCGTGAAGGTTAAGCTGTATAGGACCCAACAGTGACTGAGCTCAAGATGCACCGATGGGCAAAATCAAATTGCCATGGTTGCCTTCATCTCCCATAAGAACCATCTAGCTGAACCATGGCTCCCATATAACTTCATATTTCCGACTTTCCTCATTCTTATTTGCTTTCCCCACGCTTCCTAAAACAAACACTACAGACCGTCTGACCCTTCACCCCACCAAAACTAAAACTCCTATACTCAATCTTCCTCAGTACCTCAAACCTATCTCTCCCTTCCTCCTCTCTCTTCCCAATGAACCACTCGATCAACTCTTCTTCAGTCCAATTACAACTAGTAACAACCGCCACCCCACCGTTCCTCACCAACGCCAGCACTTTCTCCCTATATCCCTCGAAAATCCTCTTGCCATTCGAATCTGTTTCTTCTGACAAACTAATCGCATCGAATGTCCCTTTATCAAGTACTATATCCCATCCGTTTGCCTGTTCTCCATTAAGTACTTTCGGGGACGGATCCTCTTTCATTATATCCCAAGTAATGAATTCGATTTCATTTCCGTCTACTGTCCCCTCTTGTTCACTTTCCCGTTTATCCTTCGCAATCCGTTTCGCAAACTCAATGGATCTCTCCGAGTAATCCACACCCATCATTCTACCAATCCATTTCGTCCCCCCATCATTTTTTCCTTTTTCCTCCTCCTCTTCTTCCTCTTCCTCTTCCTCTTCACTGTCCTCCTCGCCCTCCCTCAACCTAACCAAAAAATGCCCATTTCCCGTCCCCAAATCCAACAAACTGAAATCCTGCCTCTTACGAACTTCCCCAAGGCCCAGTAAGTCCTTCTCAAAGACCTCTCCATTCAAGAAATCCACAACTTTATCTTCCGCAGATGAATCGTCAAACCATATCGTACCAACATCCGTTGCATCTAGAGCGTGGTTTGAGATTTCGCGGTTATAGAGGTTATCCCAACTATCTATTTCATTAGGAAATGTGTCATTCGATGTAAGAGAAGATATTAGAGGAAGTACATGTGCTGAATCATAAGAATGGATGAAAGATGGCGCAATGGCCATGGAGGGGCAGTATGGAGGGGTACAATATTTGTAGAACGCGCAAAACGTACTTACTATTCTTTTGTACCAAGAGGTGATGGCTCAAGGTGGGATGGTTTTGACGTTTCCGAGGCCATCTTTACTTACACTTTTCAGTAACAATCTTAATCAGTTCATGGAATTAAGACGTTGTGCAGGAGATAATGGCATCGGTGTATTCAAAATTCGATTGTGGCAGAATTATTTGGACAGGGGCAATTGTTTCACCGCCTGGACAGTTACGGACATGCCAGAGACGGCCAGTGGGTTATGGGAGACGCGAAGTTCAGATATTGAGGGTTTTTTACGGATGTAAAATTGAAAAAATCATTAATTGCAAGCAGCAGTGGATTCGAGATATCGTTCTCATTTTTTTTTTGTCTATGGTTTTGCCGCTTACCATCTGCATATCAGGTCGCTTTATGAAAAACGTATTAGAGGGGACTATGCTGGATTTCATGCTCTGATCTAGAATAACAGGAAAATAGCAAGGTCACCATGCTCAGGCTACTGGCTCAAAAAAAGTACGTTTTTCTCCCCATGCGCGACACGTCTATTAAGTTTCCATTGGCTCACCAGAAATTGAAGCTGCAGCCGTGGTAGCAAAGAACCGAACATCGACATCATCATCCTTTTGCAACTTTTCCAAATTTGGTAAAATCCTTTCTTGAATCAGTTGTTGGCCTCTAGCCGAGGGCGGTTCCGAGCTTCCAGACTTCTCTAATGAATATACGGTGCCCTCGTCTGGGAGCCTCTTGAGGACGGAGATGATCTCAGAATATGATTTGGCAACGTTAAAACGGATGTTTGGAATCTCGTCGGCTACCAACTTGTCCATCATAGGTAAAATGGAATTTTGGACAACGTCGAGACTGACGACTTGTGCAAGTGTCTGTGACCAGGGTTAGCAGGTTGTTACACAAGGGCAAAATCCAAAACTTACTGTGATTGCAAAGCATGTGGTCATTCTGTAGAGGTAATTTGGATGTGCTCCCATAGCCATAACCTTTGGAATGATCGCCTCATTAGCCCAGTCTACACCAAAGACCTCGGTGAGCTTTTTCAAATTCTTTGTTGCTGCGTCACGGATAGAGAAGACTGTATCTCCTAACCAGCCCATGCAGAGAGCAGCCAGCTTCTCGTCAAAGAATTGAACTCCGAGTTGACTGGCCAGAAGAGGAATGTACTCGATAATTGCTAATCGGACACGCCATTGCTTATCTTCAGCAAGCTGTACAATAGCAGGGAGAAGGGATTGTGAGAGGAGATCAATGCCGATAACTTGGTTCACTAACTCCAATTTGGAGATTATGTGTAATCGAACATCTGGGTACTCATCCTTGAGCATTTGTAAAAACATAGGAAGTAGGTGATCGATAGTCCTTATCACGACCTGTAAGTATAAAGATGATAAAGTGCGGATGTGAAAAACGTACTCTTGCTTGCCAAGAATTGGGGCAAGGCCACTGATTTGTGTTCCAAGAGAAGCCCGAACATGTTGGGATGTATCAGAAACCAAGTCTTCGACAGTGGACATGATATCATTTAAGAGGGTGGTGCGATCGACAAGCTTGCAGAAACCTTTCTTCTAATTTAGTGAAATGCTTCACAGAAACAGAAATGAGAGGACATACCAGGAATTTGACCAGCAATGGCCGTTCGTACTTCTGCTTCGCTATCTTTCAATAACTTTACGAATGCGGGTACAAGATCTCTTGTTACAACCTCATCATCTACTGCTTTTGCAATCTAGAAGATGTTAGAATTGATCATCAAATCGCAAATTTCAAGTAAAACCAACCTTTTCAAATCTATCAGCCACCATGTATCTTACTCTCCAACTTTTATCTTCGATTAAACTCCTTAAGGCTGTAAGTAGAACCCCATGGCTAGACTGTTGCTCCTTCGGTACAACCTCCGCAATGGCGATCAATATCTCTACTGTCAACAAACGTACGCTATCCTGGTCGTCACCGGCAAGGTGTTGAAACAAGGGTATCATTTCTTCCACAACTATTGTAGCAGGCATTTCCTTCACAAATTTTGACAAGTTATTCGCAGACTGTCTTCGGACCATAGGAGTTTCGTCATGGACCAAAAGACCAAATTGCTGTCTGAGCTGCTCTTGCATTGGAGGTGACGCCTTCTTGTACGGTACATTATATAATCCTGTGGCGGAGATCTTTGAGGTAAACCAGTCGGCCTTTGAGAGTCGGATCGTGAGGGGGATGAAGTACTCTTCGACTTGTTGTGAGGATAGCTCCTCGCATATCTTGTTTAAAGATTCTACAGCCTACTTCAATCAGCACGGCCATAACTTCAGTCCAATGCTATCAACTCACCTTTTCTCGCACCAAAGGCTCCTCAATAGCCGCAAGGTTCTCGAGAGGTGACAGAAGAACGTGGCCATACTCTGGACCGCCAACGTATTCTACAAAATTTCCGAGTTCTTCGCTCAAAGCAGTCAGAACTTCGTCTTCATCTTCGACCGATTCTGCAGAAAATCATCAACCAGTGTATCAAAGTATAGTTCGATATCGTCCAGCATACCATCTAAAAAGGGAATCAATTCGTCTCTTGTGCGATCCGCTCCTAGCGCAAGGGCAATCGTTGAAAGTCGATGAATGGCATTCAATCTTAAGAGTACATCATCATGCTAGTGAGCGATCAGTACCTGCGCAACAGAGCCTTGTCCTTCGAAGGGGATGCGCCTTATTTCAATACCTTTAACTCATCAATGAGAACAGCTATGGGGTAGAGCTCGTCAGTCTTGTCTGGACCGTCCGCCATTATGAAGATTTGTACAGGTCGTTACGAGGTAATTTCCGAGGTTCAAGAAAGTAGGGCGTTGAACTTGATAATTTTAGGGTTCCTGGTGAGAATATTTAGGAGGTTATCGCGTCGTCGTTGGTTGCGGTTGATAGATTGACGGAACTTTGTAATTAATTTCCGGGACTAGAGAAAAGCGGGAGAAGTGAATGAATCTTATGATATAACAAGTCAAACCAGCGACTGCCGATGACATGTCAGTATAGTTTAAAGATATCAAGTCCGCACATGGTGGGGGAAACAACGAAGGACTCTTTGTAGATGGATCCGATCCTTGATTTAATAATGTGAAAGGAATTTATTGAAACATACCTGAAAAAACACACTGCTGCAAAGGATATGAAATTGATATTCAAGTTGGGCAAATGGTTTAAAATTCAGAAGAGGTTGTTAAATGTAGGTAATGTTGGTTGGCAGTGAACACAGCTCTCGGTGAGTTTGAACCTCTGAGAAACATCAATCTTCCATTAAAATGTAAGCCTCAGGCCTCAATATGCTTCTCGACCAGTCACTCAATTCACAGACCCCTCTGATACAACCCCACCAATATTTATTATTTCGACTCATACATTGATACAGTCATTACTCATAACATTTGACTTGAGAAGCTGTGAAGCAAATATTGCAACCACAACGCATCAGTCAAGATGCCTACCATCAGCGTTGATAAAGCTAAGCTCTATGAAGCTCTTGGCCAAGAGTCAGTAAAACAATTTCTGCGCTTTCGCACCTCGCCAGACACCATACAGTAGAACTAATTTAACTCTCAGGTACACCACAGAGGAGTTTGAAGAGTTATGTTTCGAGTTTGGAATTGAGTTGGACGAGGACACATCAAATTCGGAACGACCAATAGTCAACGGAAAGCAAGAACCTGCACAACTCAAAATCGAAATCCCCGCGAATCGATATGACATGCTCTGCTTCGAAGGTATAGCTCTCATGTTAAATGTCTTCAGAGAGAAGACACCCTTCCCAAATTATAGATTGGTCAAGCCTGAGAGTGGAAATTTGGAGACTTTGACGGTTCACCAAGATACTATGAAAGTACGACCATATGTCTCGGCATCAATTCTGCGAAATGTTACCTTCACTCAAGATGGCTATGACTCCTTCATTTCGCTGCAAGACAAACTTCACCAGAATCTTGCTCGGCAGCGCACCTTAGTTGCGATTGGTACACATGATATGGATACTGTTAAAGGACCTTTCACCTATGAAGCACTTTCCCCGAAAGATATTGTCTTCACGCCTTTGAACCAAAGCAAGGAGATGAACGCGGAGGAACTAATGCAATTTTATGAGACTGATAAACACTTGGGGAAATACCTACACATTATTCGAGATAAACCAGTATATCCAGTTATTTACGACTCAAATCGCACTGTCATGTCTATGCCTCCAATTATCAACGGAGATCATTCTAAGATCACTTTGAATACCAAGAATGTCTTTATTGAGATGACCGGTACGGACCGCACAAAGTTAGAAATAGTAAACAACATTATCGTTTCTATGTTCTCGCAATACTGCGCGGAACCATTCACAATCGAGCCTGTGGAGATTATCTCGGAGCACAACCAGGAAACACGACAAACTCCTAATCTCAGCCCCCGAGAGACCGAAGCGGAAGTCGACTATATCAATAACTGCTGCGGCCTCTCAGAAACCCCGGAAAAGATCTGCGAGCTTCTCAAGAAGATGTGTTTGTCCGCGAAACCGTCCTCAAAGGACAAGAATTTACTAGATGTCTCGATACCACCCACCCGAGCCGATGTTCTTCACCAATGCGACATCATGGAAGACGTAGCTATTGCTTATGGCTTCAACAACCTTCCGCGCACATCTCCCAACAAAGCCTCCACAATTGCTCAACCCCTCCCAATCAACAAACTTGGCGATATCGTCAGAACCGAAACCGCCATGGCAGGCTGGAGCGAAGTCATGCCTCTAATCCTCTGCTCTCATGACGAGAACTTCGCCTGGCTCAACCGCAAAGATGATGGCACTACAGCTGTTCGTCTCGCTAACCCAAAGACCGCTGAATACCAAGTTGTTCGTACATCTCTTCTTCCGGGTCTTCTTAAAACCATCCGTGAAAACAAGAAACACAGTCTGCCCCTCAAAGTCTTCGAAGTATCCGACGTCGCCTTTAAAGATTTGAGCTTAGAGCGCAAATCCCGAAATGAGCGTCATTTCGCAGCAGCATGGTATGGCAAAACGAGCGGTTTCGAAGTCGTGCACGGTTTGCTTGATCGCATCCTGCTTATGTTGCAAACCGCTTTCCTTACACATGAGGAGGGATTAGAGGGCAAGAAAATGGATTTTTCGATCAAGGAAAATCCAACTAAGCCAGATGGATACTGGATCGAGGAAATCGACGAGCCAACTTTCTTTGCCGGTCATGCAGCTGCGATCTATTTGCGTTTGGGAGGCAAGGAGGTGCGTGTGGGGGAGTTTGGTATCTTGCATCCTACCGTCCTTGATAAATTTGAATTGAGGTAAGTCCATTTCCACATATAACAATTCGAAAGACAAACACTAATAGATCCCAGATATCCCGTCAGCACTTTAGAGATCAATCTCGAAGTCTTTTTATAAGCCATCACCACATCCATCACATGTAGACCAGAAGGCAAGCCAGAATATTTTCAAAGAAAGCAATGACTTGCTACTTTGCTTTTGTTATCTAGCTACTAGAATAGCCTGTCTGATGCATGAATAATGAGTAAAAAGTATCAAAAAGCATCAAAAGTCATTAAACATAAACTGTTTTGTGTGATCTTCCTCCAAACAAGACTAATACCAAGTGGAGTGACGTAATGTTTATCTACCCAGTACGCCCTACTCCTACAAATGCCTTGCTAAGACGTACGATCGATAGCAGACGGATGCCTTTTTCTTCATTCCTTTCATGCCCTTTATCCCTTCAATCCCAACAAAATATATTCCCAATCTCAGCCCTAACGCCAGCCTGGATCGGCAATCCCCCAGTCATACCATTCATTCCGTAACCAACAATCATGTAATATCATCATTGCATCTCAACCTCCATTTCCTGCGCATTCCCGTTCCCATTTCCATTAGCCAATCCATTCAAACCCGCCGGAGTACTTTTACTCGCACTACCCATGCCCGCCCCTAAACTGCCCAATCCGCTTGCCTTGGCGATTCCTAATCCTGCGATTCCATCCCTCAAACTTGCAAAGGGGTTGCCACTAACACTCGGAATCCCATTCGGAACCTGTCTCGTTGGAGACCCAGCTTCCACACCCGCAAGAACAGTGCGGCTGGATGGCGCAGCTGGTGGCGAGCTTATGCTTGCAGATGTTTTAAGTCCATTATTGCTATTTGCATTAAGTGCTAGGTATCTTTCCATGGCAGGATTATGCGGTCCGTTCATTTCCTCATCAGTGCGGTTGAAGACTTGATGCCACCACCTCACATCATCCAGATTGGGGAAGATTAACCGTTCTTTGCCTTTTACATGATCGTCTATTACTCCTCCATCGAAATCCTTATTGGTAAATTCTGGCTTCTTGGAAAGGAAATATGCCCAAACGCTTTTAGTGCGCTCTCTAACGCGGGCGTCTACACGGGATTTCTCATTGTTGTAAAGAAATGTCCCGTATTGACAAGAGTAGAGATGGTACAAGAGTCTGCGGAGGAATCGCTCATTAAATTCAAAGCGGGCAGGATGTTGACGGAGAAGTTGATAGGTTGCGTCTAAGAATTGATGGAAGACTGGACTAGTTTCTTTGGGTTTAGTGACATCACTTTGAGGGAGTGTGTCTAATATGGGTTTCTTTGGAGATTGATCGACTGTAACCTCATCTGCGTCATCAACGATCTCTTGGCTATGATTGCTCTTGTTGAAGAATCGTTTGGCGCTGAGTAGAGCATTTTCAATAGCATCTCCACGTCCGTCAGTGTTTCCACCTGGTTGTATTGCTGAGCCCGCGAGAGCATCGTTCTGTGTCGTAAACCACTTCTCATGGTTCAAGAATCCAGACCGGTGTTGGAACATATGTCCAAAGCCTAGCCAATCCTTTTCAACTAATACTATAAAACCTTCTATGGTCCTGTAATAAGGATCAAGCATCAACTGTGATAAGGCACTCAGCTGACTCGTCCTATCCCAGCCATCCGAACAGTGAATGAGAACATGAGAATGTTGTATGCCAATCTGCCTAGCGATTAGTGCGGCTCCATCAAGAATACCAGTAATGTGTTTTATCCAACCACTCTTTGCCAATAACTCTCGATTTGGAGGAAGTGTTGACACATCAGCATCCTTAATGGCATCAATCACTTTCGCCAATGAGTCTCGCATTACGTGAATATTGGCAATATTCAAATACGCTTTTTTAGCAAGTGGATAGTATTCCATATTCTCCGTACCAAAGCCATTTACTTGGTTAGCGTATGCGTTAACCTGAGGTCTTGCATCCACAATCAGATTGTTCTGTTGTGCTCCATACACATGAGGTTTTTCGGTTATGATCTCAATATTTGACGCAGATGCAAGCATTTCATCCTCATAACGATCTGTCTCTGTCACTTCCCCATTATTTGGTGTGCTAATATCGGCTTGACTGGAATCTGGACTATTTCTAGATCCCGCTGGGGATACTGAGTCCGCCTCATCCACAGTTGATGTCGCACAAAAGCATGCGCTGACTAATCTCTCATCTTGTATACTGCGGGCTCCTCGCATACCAGTCCTAGGCTGTGAACATCTCGTCAGGGCACAATTATTGACTGGGTGTAAATATGTCAGGACTGGTATTCGTGCCCTTGAACGGTGCTGGCCAGCATGTTTGATTGTGATGTCGGAGACAGCCGAAGGAACTGGGAGCAAGGCTGGGTATGTAGGTGAGAAGGCGTAATCATGGTTCATTTTAGACAACCTCCATCCTCTATCGACTCCTTTTTCACTTATTCCCAAACGTTTCCATTCTGCCTTGGGATCATATATATCCCAACCATTTATCTGCTTTTCTGCCCCATGCGCTTTATAACTAAATGCATACAACCTCTCAATGCTCCCCAGCTTGCATGTTGCGCTCTTTATACTTTCGAAGGTGTCTCGAGCTTGCTTGTCATCCGCAAAATTAAGAGTATAGAAATTAAAATCTCGACCTCGTAGACGTATAGAAGAATCTTGTCCAGATCCCGGCGAAGTTGGTCGAAATGTACAATGCGCTATCATAGGATATGCTATCCATGACTCCCTCGACCTGCCTTGAGGCGCTGTTCTTTTCCGCGCTGGCGATCCTTGTTGCGATTCTTGTTGCGAAGCTTCCGGCGACGAAGCGAGTGCTTGAACGACAATTAGATGGTGAGCTGTTAAGTGTAGTGTAACGTTTGAAGCTTGTCCCCGAGCTACTACTTGGACATTATCCACCTGCAGAGCAATTTCCAAGGTTAGTCACCATTCTATCGTGCGGCGGGACTTCACTATTTGACGAACCTTAGATATCTTGAGCTTGTCCGCCATTATAGTTTATGGCTCAGCGCACTCAGTCTTGGAATCAATAATAAATCATTTGGAATCTCGAAAGTCTCTTGTTATTCGGTCGTTTCGTTATTTATGCTGAATCCTTGGAGGAGTTGTTTAATTATTTCTGAATAATAATTTTGGCTGTATTTAGGATATTTTATTGTCTTTCGTTGACTGGAATTCCATATCATATGATATCAGTTACGTAGCATCCATCCCGGCATTCCAATCAGGCCTGCAGCCCGTATTGGCATTATGGAGCCTCAATTTTGAGCCTGGTGATTTTATGTGCCGCCTCATATCCAAGGCTGTTATCTTTCAATTCGCTTAAAATCCCACATACGCTAGCAATTCTAAGGAAATTCACAAGATTCAATTTCGAACTTGCGACCATCGACCACACGACAATACCGACGACGACGTTGAACCTTTTCTTCCACCGGTTCATAATCTCATAAATCAGACAATATGGCTTCCGGTGTTCCAGGTGCCGCTATGTAAGAAATTGCCTTTGCTACAGCTCATCCAACAAAAAGTTCGCGGGGCTAATGATGAATTTCTTGTGTACAGCTCCAAGCGCAGAAAGTTCGTCGCCGATGGTGTTTTCTACGCCGAATTGAACGAGTTCTTCCAACGCGAGTTAGCTGAGGAGGGATACTCCGGTGTCGAAGTCCGTGTTACCCCAACTGTCACCGACATCATCATCCGCGCAACCCACACCCAAGAAGTTCTCGGAGAGCAAGGACGCCGCATTCGCGAACTTACCTCCCTCATCCAAAAGCGCTTTAAGTTCCCCGAGAACAGCGTTTCCCTCTACGCCGCCAAGGTCCAAAACCGTGGTCTCTCCGCCGTCGCTCAATGCGAGTCCCTCAGATACAAGCTTCTCAACGGTCTCGCCGTCCGTAGAGCATGCTACGGTGTTCTCAGATTCATCATGGAGTCTGGTGCCAAGGGTTGCGAGGTTGTCGTTTCTGGAAAATTACGTGCTGCCCGTGCCAAGTCCATGAAGTTCACTGATGGTTTCATGATCCACTCCGGTCAACCAGCCAAGGACTTCATTGACCACGCTACCCGTCACGTTCTCCTCAAGCAAGGTGTTCTCGGAATCAAGGTCAAGATTATGAGAGGTTCTGACCCAGAAGGAAAGTCTGGACCATCCAAGGGTCTTCCAGATTCCGTCACCATCATCGAACCAAAGGAGGAGCAAAGTGTGGTTCAACCTATGAGCCAGGATTACGGTGCGAAGGCTGCCGCTGCTCAAGCAGCTGCTGAGGCCGCTCGCTCATCGGAACAGGCTGGTGAAGAGTCTGCTCCAGCTCCTCAAGAGGAATAAATTATGCAATGGTAAAACAGGATGGGCGTTTCCAAATATTTGCATACGGGTCTTGGTTGAAGGGCCTTGTATTCATATTTAGCCAACGAATTTTACGGCTCTAAAAAACTTTAAAATAATGTTACATGATGCTATTAAATGTGATATCAAATACCGCCCCCTTGGATTGCAATCGAAGTGAGCCAAATTAAGCGTATAGCGCCTCATGAAAGCCCATTCCTTAATTTACCCAGGTATATATCGTACAGATGTGTCTTTCCTTTCCGTCTCCTTTTGTACAGAATAGCAACCCAAACGCCTGAACCTCATGCAGTCGTACTTTGAAATATGGCCCTAGCCAGCAGACCAGCCTGCCACCAAAATGATATTCTAATGAAAAAAGAAAAAGAAAAGAGCACATAGAAAATTGCAACCCTTGCAATAGCATATGCAGCCCAAGCTTTTCCGCAAAGTAGTCTCGAAACGTGTGTCGTCACATCAAATCAGCTATTATTACTATTATGGAAAAGGTCACCGGGTGGATGATCTGCTCGGCCTCCTCTGTTCTGATGGCTCGCTGATACTCCTCTTACTGCCATGTCCATTGATTTTCCCATTCATAGCTCGCGGTGGTAGCGGATCGTCATCGCTGTCTTCTCCTAGGTCCGCAAGACCAAACCCTGCGTTCTCTTCTTCGTCGTACGCGTGGATCAGCCCTTCTCTGTCTCCTCGGCCATACCCATTGCTTCCCATGCTCATCCTGTGTGGATCATTGCTTCGTCGGGCTTGCATACTTCGTCTCGTTGATATGCCAGAAAGAGGGTCGGTCGCGATGCCGTCTGCACCGGACATTATCTTGTTTCCTTCGGGGTCGGTTCTCGAGACGTTCAGTAGGTAGACTCCTGTAAAAATGACGAGAAATCCGCATAGAAGTGAAATCGTGTTGACCGCATCAGAAGTGTTAAAACCGCCGTACAAGATAAATGAAGCAGTAAGTGTTGCGGTCGTAAAACAGACATAGTAAAGTGGGTTTACGCTGGTCAGAAGTCAGATTCAAATGTACGACCGCAAAAATAAGCATGACTTACATGGAAGTGGGGAACTGGCTCAGCGCCTTATTGAAATAATTCATCTGTGTCAAAATACAGACTACAGTTACAATAATGAAAACGTAGGTAGAGGGATAGATGAATTGATTTTCACCACCCAATGTCAATTTCACCGCGATACCAAATGCCTTTACTGACATGACTGAAATACCGCCAACGGTTGAACAAATTGACAAGTACACGAGCGGATTCTTCTTGCCATACTTTGGGGCGACCCTGTAAATCATAACGACTGCAAAAACTGCAACAAAGAGGCAAAACGAAAGAAATCCTATAAATGTCAGCATCTTCCTGTAAAACGGAGTGTTGTTTCGGCATACCCGGCTGAATAGCATAGTGAAGAATCTCGTCTATTCTCTTGATCTCCTTGTCTGGCGGCGCGTGAAGGACAATAATGACCGATCCTATCAAGCATATTGCGCAGCCCAACTTCCCCAAGGTACCCAGTTTCTCTTCCAGAAAGTATGACCCTAGCACCGCTCCAATCAAGACACTGAGCGCTCCGAGAGGTGTGACCAGAATCGCTGGGGCGAACGCATACGCCGCAAAATTTGCTATTTCTCCCACAATTACTGTTCACATCCTATTAGCTAAATTCCCCGCGCTGTGTACGTATTCACACATACATGCTATTATGCCACCCCACCATATTGGACTCCTCAAATATGTGAACCCGTCTCCCTCGAAGCCGTGTCTTTCTTCGGCATCCATTAACCCCTAAGGAAGCTGTCAATAAATTATTGTGACTGAATGTTAGACATATAAATGTTCGTACCTTTTTGGTGATGACAAAACTTGTGCCTGCAAAGAAGAAATAATAATATTAGCCTCAATCTGTCCTTCCTACTATGATTCGTAGTTTCATACCTATCGCCATAGTCGAGGTAACGGCTAACGCCAGCCCTATGTATCTTTATCACTAGTCAGTCTCTGCCTGTTGAAAGCATTGGCACAATTCTGCGCGATTGAACGTCTTCCAGACATTATTGACGTACTTGTCTTCCAACATCTTGACGGCGCAAAGTCGAATTCCCGCTCCTAGTTTTGTTGCAAGTTTTATCTGGTTCGTTGAGCCTTTGAGCTCACGCTCGACAAAGACGCCGTAACAATATCAAAGTGAGGGAAGCGCAAGGCTGTAAATCCGGCGCAAATTTATCGTCGAACTTCTGTTAAGCTAGTTGTCGCCGTGCAGCGTCCTTCGCAGAAAGATTGATTATGATGTTCGCAGGTAAACGTGGAGGGTCATGAGATAGTTTCACCCCTAGCTTCAGTGATAATTCTATAGTTCGAATGCCTGTCGACCGAGGCAACAAATAATGAACGACAGTCGACAACGAGTTATTGGATGGATGGGTGTATGTTTGAGCGGGATCTGAATCTTCGAAAGAATGGATAATTGAGGCCACAGAGTTCTGCTCGGTAGTGTGGGATGATGTTTCAAATCGAGATGTTTTGAAATTTGGAGGTCGAAGGTAAAAGTTCGTGTGTGGGAATATTTGTGACCCAGGAACCGGAAGTGGAAGAGAGATGAAACCGCGAGTTGAGTGTTCGAGCGTTCGAGTGGTTCATAGAACTTAGGGCCCTATTCTCTCTTTGGATAAACTTTGTTTGGTTGGGCTGGCTAGATTTGGTTATTCCGTGATTCCTCTAAATTTAGTACATGTAATAATGTGTTTCTCCTACTCCGTAGTGAAGTCACTCATAAGAACTACGGAGCAAGGAAAAACCTTAATTACCAATGAATGGATAATCACATCATACACTATTTCATTTTCCATTTTTCACGAGAGAAGTAATTTTATAATATCACATATCAACATATGAACATTTCACGCACAATCGAGAATGTTTTTGACGCCTCCCCTTTTCCAATCCATCATCCCGTATGAAATGACCTATAAACTAGGTATGGACTGTATGGACTGTATGCACTCCCATAGACTCCGAAGTGCGTATAAAATGACTCTTTATTCGTAGCTCAGCAAAAGGTTGAATGGTTGGTTGCTTTTCGTGTTGGTTGGTGTCAAGAAACGATTCACAGGTACTAAAAGTGTCTTGTAGGGGTCTTTGACGCGCAAGCAACGGGGTCTTTGAGGCTTAGCAAGGAATGCATGCTCAACATAATTTCTAGCTCATATTCGAATTCGTGTTTGTTTACCATTACAAATGGCCAGATTGATTTGTCTATCAGGAAATTATGAGCTCACGGGATTGCTTCGTCGAATCCGGAGCCATCGGAATTGCATGTCGACCGAGGATTTGGTCTTATGAGCTGTTTTATGTAGACAATGAATGTTAGCATTTCAATCCCAAGTGGATGAGTTTAGCTTCGGAAAGTGGAATGCTCAGTGGTACAACTTCAATATTGAAAAATTGCAAAATTAACAACACCATATTGTGAGAATCACGGATCATATAGAAACAAGTATGGTTATGATTTTATGACGAAAACTTTTAGTAACTGCGGACTGATAGCCAAATCTCGATTCCCTTTGAAAGGCAATAGGCAGCCACTGCAAACTACAACATCATTTTTCCATACATATGCTGGCCTTGAAGATTGCACGCCCCCAAAACCAAACCATCTTATATCGAAGGGTATCGTGCATATACATATCTTGCAAAAGCCAAACTCCATAAAAAGTCCTCGCATATTACCCAAATTCTGGTCTTCTTCGACCACCACACGACCACTAAACTGCGCTTCAAATGCTACGGAACCAGTTGCTAAAATTTGAGTGTAGGATCGTATCGTATCACAGGAACGAAAGGGGATTGATTAGGGGTGAGGGGAAAGATTAGAAAGGGTTAATATCATCATACCTATGAAAACCTACCGTAAAGAAAGAGTCGTTTCAAGTCCTTTTCTCTGAAATTGTTGGTTCGCGCGTCGCAGGTGTTCCGAGTCATCAATTCATCGTCGAGTACTTTATCGTTGAATACTTTATCCGTTAAACTACGGAAAAGGCTGGCTTAACAGACTTCGAAGACGTTGAAAAGTGATCATGACCACAACGATAAACAGTGGACAAGTCAAAGTGGAAACCGTATGAGCCGAATGAGAACTATCATGTCGTGTTAAGATCATGATCGAATTCGCTTAGCTTCTATTCATTATTAGTTTAGTGCACAATAACTTTGAAAATTCTTGGAAAATACTAACCGTTGGTGATCGACTCGTCACCATCTTCAAAGTCTGTTTCAGCTCTAGGCCTCTTTCCTGAGTTCGAAACGGGTGATTCCTCGGACTTTGGAGTCGGAGATTGAGGGACAATCACTTCTGAGGGCGGATCCTCTTCGTCATCATCGTAATCGATTTCGTCTTCTTGATCCTGTCCATTGGCAAGGCTTGGCTTCGTCCCCTGGATTTCAGCGGTCGAGGCATTGCTTAATGTAGCGCTGTCTGTCTCCGCTGCTCTATCGTCGAACGAAACATTGGTAGTGAAGGCATCCTCGGCCACAGATATGCGCAGTAATTCACTATTGCCAGTTTCATCGTCTTGTTGATAATTTTGAAGGAAGTCGGTGTCCTCTTCGTCACCAACACCTAAATCGAACTCATCCTCCTCGAAATTGTAATGTCCTCCATTTTCAAGATCATCGTCGTAACTAATTTCCACGTTATTTACTTCCAGGGTATGATTCGCTAGATCTAAGCCTTCGCCGTCTCCATTCTGCTCGTTCTCATTGTTAATATCGTGAGGTACTTCCTGGGTAGTATCTGCTAGACCAGGGCCTTCATCATCTCCCGTTTGTTCGATCTCATTGTTGTCGTTGTACAAGGCGTACTCACGGTCCTCGTCATTGGTTTCGTTCAAGTTAATCCCATTTTCGGCATTTTCAAGGTCATTTGGTTCCGAGCCCTCTTGTTCCTCGGCATTGAAGCCGTCATCGGCTTTCTCTTCCTCGTAATCAATGTCGCTTTCTACGTCTTGGAAGGTTTCCTCGGGCTGAGCAGTATCATCAGTATGGGTCGTTTCGTCGCCCACTTGGCTCTCCACTTCAGTAACTGCATTCTCTACTTTAAGAGAGATTGAATTTCGACGAGACTCTTCTTCTGCCGCTCGACACTCAGTTAGAACAAGGTCATTACAGGTGGAACAAAAACAAGTGTCAGGAAGGATGCATGGCAAATTGAAATCGGTGGATCTACCGTTTTGTGGCCTGCTCTCATCAGTCACGGGCTGTTCGGGCTTCAGGGCTCCATCATTCAAGGGCTTTTCGATGTCCTCTTCATCCTCGTAATCAATAAAGTCCCCATCTTCATCAATCTCACTATCAGGTTTCTGGAAAGTTTCAGGCGATTTTCGTACTTCCGCGGGTGCTAACTGCTGATGATCAACCTCTCTTTGCACATCACCCTGCTCCCCTTGTGGGCTTTCAGCACTGACTGAAGTGGCAGAATCTGCATGTTCGAGATGCGGTTGTTCATCATGGGAGCCATGGTTAGAGTTTTCGTCATACGCATCATTGGCTTCAATGGGTTTATCGTTTTCCTCTAGCACAGAGTTGAATGCGTCGGAGGGAGATTGACTGTCATAACGCTGCGTCGGCTCTCCGAACTCCGTTGGATCATCTTCACTCTCGACGTTCCAAGTTACATAGTCAAGTAATCCTTTACCCTCAGCAGCCCCCTTTGAGAGTGCTAAGAATCTATCATATCCTGTAGGCTGTATAACGAGTCTCAGGTTTAAAGGAGGTATTTCACCGTTCCCATCATTGTTGACCAGCCTTTCATATAGGCGAATTATTTGGCCCAGGCTCAGGTCATCAGGGTAGTTTGTGAGTTGAGACTACCGAGGAAGTTAGCCATAGTCAGAGGTGATGGTGGGGTTTCTTGTGAATACTGACCTCTTCAATCGTTAATTGAAGCTCTTCAATAAGTAAACTAATCTTGTCATCTTTTGGTAAATTTTCCTCCATTAGAACTTTACGAATTTCGTAGCAAAACTCATTAAACGGTTTCTCCACTACGGAAGGGTCTTCGAAGAAAAATTCGTTGGGATGGTCTGTGGAATACTTCCTGATCAATGGATAATTTCGGTTGTTGTATTTGACTACTATTTCACGAGCATGATGTTGATTTTCTAAATCTTTCGAGGAATCGAGTGTAGCGCTATTTGGCTTGCTCGAGCTCTCTTCGGCAGAAGCTGTGTTTGGACCGGAACGTTCTGGTCCCTGATCCTCGGCATTTGTGCTAGTATTGATTGGGCCACTTTCAATGGATGCCGTACTCAAATCGAGATTTTCTTCATCCTTGGCATATACATTGGTACCATTCGCCTCAACAACGTTCGTCGACTCATCTAAATTGTTCTCGAGACTCTGTCTGTTAGACTCATCGTGATTGTGATTTTGTGGGCTGTTAGATTGTGTGTTTTCATCAGTGGGCGAATGGGGAAACGAAGCAGGTGCAAGATCCTGGGTATCCTTGGTATTTAAATTCTTGACACTCTCAGGACTGTTGTCGACTAAGTCTTCTGAACCATGTACGGTTGCTGCTGTGTCCAGCGCATTTGCAGCTTCACCCGACTCTTGTGCCACTTGAGCATCGTCCCAAAATTGATCGGAAACGCCGGTGTCCACGATACTCAACTCTGTAGACTGTACCTCGTTGAAAGAATTACCAGAAGGATTATCGGTCGTGAATGACAAACCAGCAGGTTCCTGTTCCATGTTGTGATCATCTGCTTCCTCCTCCAACAAGTCTGCATCTTCCATATGGTATGATGCATCATCACGGTCATCATCAAGCATCAGATCGTCTGTCTCGACATGTGCGGGTACGTCGGTAATATTTGTGTCGAAGTCTGTATCTGGATCAACATCATCTAGGATATCATCTTCATCGACATGGCCAGTGGTGAGGTCAATATCAATGTCAATATCTTCCTCGACAATGTTATGCCCATGCTCAGAAGCTATCTCCATGGTATCGTCAACCATGGTGTGGAAAGTTGTAGGGACTGCAAGACTCGACACACTCATGAGTTTCGTTATGGCTTCTCTGCCTTCAGTGAAATGTCGGAATCAATTTTTTGATAAAATTTTATCGGCGGAAGAAGGCGTAAATTGTTTTTCGAAATAGCTCTCAAGCTAGAGTTATGATCAATTTCTTGGTTTCGCGTGAGAGTGTGTAGGTGAAAGGTTTTCAGTATGCACTATGGAGAACGGGTATAACAAAGAAACATCGAACAAATCGTGCAATCCAAAAGAGTTCAGATACCTTCGTAGTTCTTTCAATATGTAATGGCAAAGTGATCAAAGTAAAACACATTTATGTGTTACTGAGAATCAAATGGGTAGGTAGGTGGTGTTCTGAATAATTTGGGAAGCCTTATAGGGATCAAGGTGGTACTGTACAAGTAGCGCGCATCTGGAGCTACCAAATTAGCGTTCAATTTTAGCTTGTTTGTCACGTGGTGGACCCATGTCGGAACATTGTTTGGCCAACTGCCCGATATACACATTGCAACAGAACCCCGAAACTCTCTGGATTCAAAGTCTTGGACAGCATTGAGAAAGAATCAGATTGCTCAATCTTCACTAATCATGGTGCGCTATATATTCTAGTATCTGGACGCTTTCTTTACTAACAGATTTACAGGTTGTCTTAGCAGCTTCGATTTGTACCCGGGGGGGAAAAGCTGTCCTCTCCAGGCAGTTTCGCGAAATGCAAAGGTCTAGAATTGAAGCTCTTCTAGCATCCTTTCCAAAGTTGGCAGACTCTGGAACTCAGCATACGACCGTGGAGCAAGATAATGTGCGATTTGTGTATCAGCCGCTGGACGAATTATACATGGTCCTCATCACGAACAAGCAGTCCAACATCCTACAAGATATCGATTCCTTACACTTATTCGCGCAGGTGGTCACTAGCACATGCAAGACCTTGGACGAAAGAGAAATTCTGAAGAATGCGTATGAATTGCTCAGTGCGTTTGATGAGCTTGTCACACTTGGGTATCGGGAAAACCTTACAATCAGTCAAATCAAGACATTCTTGGAGATGGAGAGTCACGAAGAAAGGATACAAGAAATCATTTCGAGAGTAGGCTTTATGCAAGCTATATTACAGCAATTTGGCTAACGGAGATTCCAGAATAAAGAGCTCGAAGCTACTGAAGAGCGCAAGCGCAAAGCAAAACAACTGGAAATGCAGCGCAAGGAGGTTTCAAGGAGTGGTAGAAATGCTATACCAAGTCGGCCACAGTATCCGACATATACACCACCTGCTCAATCTGCCAACACTGAAACTTATGATTCATACGAAGCTGCTAAGAACAAATCTTTCAAGTGGGTTATTTTATCGTCGCTGCAGAACCATTGACACTGACATTTCACAGAGCTAGCGCACCGAAAGGCAAAGGAATGCAGTTGGGAAAGAAGTCAAAGACTACAGATATGTTTGAGAGAGTACGTGGCGACATGGGTGCCGAAGTCGAGGAAACTGTCTCGTCGCCACTTATTCCAAATCATCCTACACCAGCTACCGCTGAACAACCACCCCATACTCCTTCTGCATTAGACCGTGATGCCATTCACGTTACTATCTCAGAGTCAATCAACGCTAAATTATCTCGGGATGGTTCTTTGAACTCCTTGGAGGTCAAGGGCGATTTAAATTTGCGGATCTCGGACCCTACACTCACCAAGATCAAACTAGATCTTGTTGCCAACCAGAGTCATGGAGTACAATTCCGCACACATCCAAATGTGGATAAGGGGGTGTTCAGTGGATCTAAAGCTATTCAGATGAGCAATGTTTCAAAGGGGTTCCCCGTCAATAACTCTGTTGGTGTATTGCGATGGAGAGCTCAGCCAAAAACAGATGACACCAGTGCCTTGCCAATTCAATTCACCGTATGGGTTGTCGGGGGGCAAGGCGATCCTCTCAACATTACCGTTGAATACGAACTCACTGGAGAAGATTCTCTTCAAGATGTCGCCGTTACAATTCCATACGCCTCAAGCGAGCCGGCAGTTTCTAGCTTCGACGCAACCTATGAAGTCTCCGGGGATAGCCTTGAGTGGACGATCGGGCCCGTCGACTCTTCTAATGGAGCCGGCTCTTTCGAATTCGAAGTCCAAGACGGAGATGAGAATGATTTCTTCCCTATGCAAATCAGGTTCGCTAAAACAAAACCTTTTATCGATGTTGATGTAAGTTTTATCAATCTTTTCAGTGTAAGTCTGAGACTAACACCCAATGCAGGTCACCAATGTCACATTACTAGAGTTGAACGAGGCCGTGGATTTCTCAAAAGATATCAAATCAATCGCTGACTCTTATTTGGTAGAGTAAGGGGTTTTGTGCAGAAAATGGATGGGATTCGAATGAAGTGCATGGCGTAGGGTGGATGGCAATCCATAATATTTATTGTTGTACTAGGTAGCCATAGAAAATAAAACCAATTGATCTTATAATATGTGCAGAAAATGCCGCATACTGATCGTAAACCGTCGCAAAATTAAAAAAAATTAAAAAAACTAATATACACCACAATACCTAATTAAACACAGTACAGTAGGTAAGGATAGGTATTTTTAATCAAAGGAGAAAGAACGAGCGTTTACAAGTCTCGCTTACGTACTCAACGACAAGTAGTGTGGATGTTTACAGAAGGCCGACGTTCTGTGAAACTATCAACCAGCTTCTGAGAATGTCAAAACAACCAGCTCCATCAATAGATTACTTCGTCTTATTAGATGAAATATCATTGTAGTGAACATGATGGCGGAGGTTATGCGTCTCGAGCTACTAGGCGAAAAAACTCTGCATCAAACGGTTAATCCTGAACTGCTCGCATATTGTCCATCGATGGACCTGATAGCGTTGGGTAGCACAGATCAGCAAGTCCTGATCTATCGTTTGAATGGACAGAGAGTTTATGGGGCTGCACAAAAAGTCAATACTCTTCGCGTTGAGAAGATCAGCTGGAAGCCAAATGGTATTGACATTCCTAATTGTCATTAATATATTTATACTGATACCTGCGTAGGACAACTACTAGCAATCGCTTGGAGTGATGGATCTGTTCGCCTTGTTGGTGCTGAAAGCACAAAGGTGGTCCATCACTTCTCTACAACTTCAGATGATCAAGATTTCTCTGGGATCACGTGCATGAGTTGGAGTTCAAACACCATCGGCAGAAAAGTTGCAGATAAAACGTCGAAGATTTTCCCAAATACCTTAAAGAACTTATTTAGAAATGAGTTAGGATCGTCTGCAGGGAAGGATGCTTTGGACTTACCAAGAGACCTCGCTCTTCTTGACATTGAACCCAGCCTGCCGAAGCTAAGTGTACTCCCCACGGGAGGGACTTCGTAAGTGTGTCCCATTTTCTTTTGCAACACTTTTACTCACTAATTCTTGTCAGGGATGAAGTTTTTAGTTCCAGATCGTCTTTAGATGCTCTCTTTCGTCCATTTGACCCAGAAGATAACGAGATGGCCGATGTTATGGTTGTTGGGACGAAGGAGGGCAATATACATCTCAGTATTTACGACTCATTTGTGGTAGGATCTTTCAAAGCTCCAATCATCGTTCATAGGCGCCCGGCATATCTGGTTTCACATGCGTCCCACAAATTGTACTCAACGCATGCATTGCTCATGAAAACCACCGAATCTGAAGAAAGGATTTATTTTGTTCCAATGGACCTTCGCTTCTTGTCCGCCTCGAGCCAGTATCTTTCAATCCTTGCATCTCGATCAACAGCTCTGGAAAACCTTCTCAGATACATCAATCAAATACGGAGCCTAATGCTTGCGGAATGGAAGTCGACACAAGAATTACCCAGCAGGTTTCTCCGAAACGTTAATGACACCCTTGCTGCACAAGATAATCGAGATATTGTACAGGCGCTTTACCATTCTGTAGCCACTGGCCACACTTTTCCAGTCGTGCGCGAATGGCTCGTGGATGAGCTGACAGAAAGAGTAAGATTGCTTTATTCTATGGTTTATGGGATTTGTACTAAATGTATAGGGCCATAAAAGATGGGACAAAGCCGTGATATCAGGTCTGGAGAACTTACGGCGTTTGGTTCATGAGAACATGCTTCCTGCCCTTGATCGTTGTTCTGTCATTCTCAGCAGATTGAATGGAATTGCTAAGTTTCAAGGTCCGGATTCTTCCTTGGGCTTCACAAGTGCGCAGATTACTTCAATCATGGATACTGTCGCATCTCTGCATCTTGTTTCTGCGAAGATTTTACTTCAGGTGGTAGATGAGCTTGAACTCTTTACTTCATTTTCTGCTTGGTTACGTCACGAGATCGATAGGCTGGCATCTGATGGGTCTTCTTCTCAAAATGAAGAAAACGGTGATAAAGAGGCTTTAATTGATCATGGTAAAGTATTACTATATATACAAACAGTCATGATCAACAGTCCGCTGGCAGCTTTTATCGGCGAAGTTACACTCGAGGATTACCAGAACGAGAGTGCGCATATAGGGAAGGGCATTCAGGTATTCGATTTACTCACAAGGCAGCTAGAAAAGCAAGAACAGGGGTTGAAATACAGAAAGACTTTGCCGCAAGTAGAATTTCTGTACAAATATTTAAGGAATCAGGCAGCTGCCATCTTCACTCAAATTGCGGACGCCGAGAAGAGCAATGTCCTCTTCGGTAGGGCAAGTGAGCTAGGCATGGCCCACAATGATCTGCCTGTCGAGATGAAGATGAAAATGATCGTAAGTATTACTGTGATTTTACGTTCCGTCACTGACTGATTTTAGGATCGTGATGTATGCCATAACTATATCGCTTTTGTGCCGAAAGACTCTTTGAATCAAGGTCGGTCAATATACCACTTCAGATTTATTTCGGATTCGATTTGATAATGGATAATAGTTCAAATAGTTCAGATTGAGCTTTTCATCGAGAATGGAATTAGCACTGTGCGCAGCACGAATTCATCCGTCCTCCAGCTTGGCGATGGGCAAATCAAGGACTTCAAATTCATGGACGACAGCACCATACTCGTGCTATGGGAGGCCAATGGTAAGGCGCACGCAGATCTGTCTTTCAGAACTAACACGGTTATAGGGAAGTGCAATCTTCTAGGAATACCCTACAACAATGGGAGTGGAAGCCACATAAAATATCAACCTCATCGAATTTCTGCAAGTCGCTCCAAGGCAATCATGTCGAGCAATGAAGAAGTAATTAACAAATTCTTGCAAATCGAGTTTGCAAGTGAAGGTCCGATTATTCCAGAAATCATGATGGTCCGATCACAAATCGGGTCGAAAAATGATAACCACATGAAGAGATTGGTGGTTTTGGCCAAAGATAGGCTTCGTTATAAGGTTTTCAAATTGGTTGGGGAACCTTCCAATGGAAACATTAGTGAAGATATCCCCATGTCATGAATACAAGTCAGAAGGGTATTGTGCTACGGCAACAAAAGTTAACACCATAGCAGTTTTTGATCACTTTTGGAAGTTGCATGGAGTATCTCAACGAACAACGTCAAACTAGACGATGCACAATATCACATGATAAGAGCAATCCAATAGAAGCTTTCCATTTGGTTTTTGGTAGATAATACTACCCCAAAGACAAAGTGGGGGGAGTAGTAGTGTCGGCGACGGACTGCATTAAGCGTATGCACCAAAATAGGCAGCTTAGGGCTCTTCGAGATTTTGAAAGTGACAAATTTCAGATAAGAAAATAAGAAAAACTAGCATCATCGATACTAAAGTTCAGTCCGCCAATTTTCATTTTCACATATTTTTCTACACACTCTTGTGATACTTGATTCTGATACCGAGCTCAATTTCCGCTGCACCCTAAGTGAGGTGCCATGGCATCATATAATAAGCAGTTCCTTGTAGAGCGGAAGAGCATTGATAGAGAGGCACGCGAAATAGGTCTGGAAGCTGCATCGCCGAGTCCGGGGAATGGGTATGGAGATACTCAAAATGATCTCTCTGATATGCAAAGATTAGGCAAGAAGCAGGAATTCAAGGTATGTAAATTATAGAACAGCTGGCCTCAACAGTGATGAGTGAATTGATTGAAGTGTAGAGGAATTTTAATCTGCTATCGACTCTGGGGTTCATCTCAATTTACATGGCAACATGGGAGTTTGTTCTAGTGTTCGTGTCTCGCATATCCATTCCCAGTGAGGCAATCCTTCTTACGGGAGTACAGGTCACTGAGCGTAGGATTGATCAATGGGGGGTTTGCTGGATTGTTCTGGGTGTTCATTGGAACGGTAATATGCTACTCGCCTATTGTGGCATCACTGGCTGAAATGGGGTCAATGGCTCCTACGAGCGGTGGTAAGGATACCCAAAGTCGATGTTCCTGCTCACGAACAATGATTTAATACATTCACAGGTCAATATCACTGGGTGTCCGAGTTCTCCCCTCCCAAGTACCAAAAATTCCTGAGCTACACTGCTGGTGACGATATCCCTCTCCTACTCTCCTTCTCCTTAAATCTTCGCATTTCACTAATTATACCACACAGGCTGGATGTCGAGCCTCGGTTGGATTGCCAGTTTCGCCAGCAGCATCCTCATCCTCGCCACTCTCGTCGAAGCAATTATCGATATCCGAAATGCAGACTATTCGTTCGCACCATGGCAATACACACTAATTATGATCGCTTATCTCTTGATCACCGTCGGCTTTAATACCTGGGGCGCAAGACTTCTGCCAATGATTGAAACGACTTCGCTGTTTGGGCATTTAGCTGGATTTTTAGTGACCATTATACCATTGTGGTTTATGGCGCCGAAGAATTCGGCAAGGACTGTTCTTTTGGATGTGGTTAATAATGGGGGGTGGAGTAACACTGGCACGAGTTGTTTGATTGCGCAAGTTAGCGTCCTATATTGTAATATTGGTGAGTCCTTAATGTGTCGGCCTGTCGGGCTATGTTGAAGTTCGTGGCTAACGGATGAAAACATGAAGGATCGGATAGTGCGGTACATATCTGTGAGTGTCCTTTTCCCTCAAATGATATAACCACCAAGTACTCACAGTACACCAGCCGAAGAAGTAGAAGATGCATCGGTTAATGTTCCGCGGGCTATGTGGTGGAGCTATATACTCAACGTTGCATTAGGAATCATCATGCTAATAACATTGCTTTTCTGCATCGGGCCGCTCGATGCAGCCATCGCATCACCAGCCCCTTACCTGAGGCTATTTTTGAACACTGGGTCTGATGCCATGGCTACAGCACTCATGATCATCCTGCTCATCCTTGTATTTTCTGGAAATATCACAGCTTTGGCTACGACGAGTAGAGAATTATGGGCCTTTTCGAGAGATAAAGGGTTTCCATTTTCAACATGGATTTCAAGGGTAGGATTCTAATCTTTCTATTTTTTCCCCTTCATCATGATCACCTTGATCCGATACCCCGCCTTCCAAAATACTCTCTAACCACACTTAGATGAACCACACTCTCAACGTCCCTCTGAACTCCATCTATCTCACCTCCATCCTCACCATTCTCCTCTGCCTCATAAACCTTGGTTCTTCCTTCGCCTTCAACATCATCGTTTCGCTCTCACTCCTTGCTCTCCTTTCTACATACATGATGTCCATCGGATGCGTGCTCTTGAAACGTATTAAGGGTGAGCCGTTGCCACCCGCACGATGGAGCCTAGGACGCTTTGGATTACCCATTAATGCGTTTGCGTTTGCGTATAGTGGGTTTGTCATGGTGTGGAGTTGTTTTCCTAGCAAGGCGCCGGTTACCGTTGGGAATGCCAATGTGAGTTTCTGTTGGGCTTCGAGATGCAACATGATAAGAGATGGGCTAATGATTTTTAGTGGGCACCGGCTGTTTGGTTTGTTGTTATTGTTGTTGCTGGGTTGATATATGTTGTGCATGGGAAGAAACATTATACGCCACCAGTATTGTTTGTAGAGGGGAGAAGAGCTAGTGACAAACTGCAAGAAGTGGAGTAGAATATGGGATGGGGGTGTGAGGGGTTGTATATGTCGCTCTTGATTCTTGTTCATATTTTCCACAAAAGGTAGTTGTACATGAATGAGAATATCTTCCTTGAAACTGGTCCTCAAGGCAACATAATATGCAGGTAAATTGAGCCTCGATATCATGTCCCGACTTGAACACTCAAAGCTCCATTCAACATAGAAGGCCGCATTGATTCCGCGATGAATGCAGCCGCTATTTTACCAACCGATGTGAACTCTGAGCTGTAATATTTAAGCCCAAAAGCGATGCCTCAGTCAGTCCACATAGATCATTGTATGAACAACTGGATAGTTTGTCCCTTTTTGGGAAGCCCATTGCAACCTCTGTGGACTTCAAGGATCCGGAATATAGGCAAAGCCTAGGATGAAATGGGGCTTCATGATGTCAGCGATGATTAAAGAAGAAGAGGATCTGTGGTCGAGGAAATAGGATGTAATAACCAGAGCTATAAAACTCCGCATGAGCAAGAGCTTTGTTACTTAGCACATGACAGGTTTGAAAAAGTGTTGCTTTGATCCTCGCATTTACAGTTCTGCTTCTTCCCATTGATCAGAGACCGAGACTCTGTCGTCAATTTCCGAGGTGATATCTCGAAATGGAAACTCCTCGTATGTGATATCTGATTGTTTCAGTAAATATATCATAATACAGATTTCACCTATTGTGCCTTGAGTAAAACTTGTAATATCAAGAATCACTAGAAAGAAAGTAGTCGTAGGAATTCGAATACCGAGAGAGGATATATTGGTTTAACGGCCACAGAGAAAATTTTGACAGAGTTTCATTCCCCATCGAAGAAGGAACAGGTCTCTGTTCAACTCCACGTTACTTGCTAGCTACATCCTTCCCTCTATAAAATAAAAATCCAAATCATGTAGAACTCTGATTAATCAATCTACTAGGTGAGTCAACTTGATATCAAATAGCTTTTCATTAGAACCCGCTTATCAAAATAAATAATAATACAATGCTTTTGAATCCAACTCCAATCAAATCACCCTTCTCAAATCAGCAAAACTGTCATCAATCATCAGATAAATTCGATGCTATCCCCGGAAGTAAACTGATCAACAAGGCAAGAACTAATATGACATCTCCCGCACTTCCACATATGACAACTTAAGTATCAGTCCAGTTTCAATTATGCTTTTCCGCGATCAGGGAGCTCTCACCGCACCCAAATTATAGAACTGCATTCAAGGTCAGCCATTACACGTCCCCGAGAGTAAAAGAAGCTAAAATGCACAAACCTGTCTGGCCTCGTCCTCTGTCTTCTCAGTATTGCTTGCCTCGCCCGTATGAATCAATCCTAATTTATTCTTCCTCACGATATCAAACCAAAACATCCTATCGAAATCTTCATTTTGAAGTTGTTTCTTGAATTTCTCAATGAAGTTATTGTAGACTTCCGGTTCAACCAGATCAATCAATTCAGTTCTCATGACCCTCAGGTACTCTTCAGCCTGTGCCCAGGTGGAATTTCCAGTACTTCGTTTGAGTAGTGTCCGGACAGTATCGCCCATTTCTCGAGTAACTTTGGTGACACTCTCGGTGGAATCGGTGCTTGCAAGTGTTCGCTTAAATTCTGGGATAGCGTTGTCTACGGTGATCTTTTGGCGCTTTTCTCGACCGAGAAGAGCTTCTACATCGAGACCGGAAAGAGGTTTGACGACTTCTCGGTTGCGTTTGGCTTTAGCTGTCGCGGGGACTGGAAAATTATTAGCCAGGAGGAAATTAAAGAAGCTTAAAGAGCCCTGTTACCTTTCTTGACATCCGCTGTTTCAATCAACTTTGTGAGCTGGCTACTTGATTTTTCGACAAGCTCGGAAGGGGGATGTGACCATTTGATTAAGACATCAGGAGGTGGCGGTACACCTTCATCTGGCTTAACAGCACGTCTGCGTATTGCTTGATTGATACGATGAAGCACAGGAGAGTAAGTATCTTCGATGGCCATGTATTCTACAGGATCACTATGCAAAGTTAATCATATGCCCATGGTGATAATGTATAGCTCTTACCCTGCTTCATCCTTTCCGGCTGTCGATAAATCCATGCTATCAACGAAACTGCTCATTGCAGCTTTCAAATCTTTGCTTGGAAGGTTTTTGTGCTTCTCCATTAGACCGCCAGAACTATTGAAAACCTTATCTAGTGGCGCGAATCGATAACTTCGTACATCTTCAGCAAAAGGAAGAGGCACATCAACAAGGCCCTCTAAATCTGGTTCTATGAATGGAGCAAGAATTACAATCAGTGGATCTGCTCCATCTTTCTTGACGATTCTGGCAACAGCACAAGAATTCAGCTCATTCAGAGCATGGACAAAAGATGATAATGCCATTCGTGCCTTTTCGTTTGTCTTTTGAGGAATAGTGATGCAACTTTCTCCCATATTGAGATATCTCTCGTACTGAAGAAGTTAGGCTAGATAAAGGGTGTGTAGAATGTACAAATACTTACATTGTTGGGCACAAATCCGATGATAGAGAAATCCTTTATTGCCTGAAGCTTTGTGACACCTTCGTCTGCTTGACTAATATGAACAATAGTGCTACCATATTCATAACCCTTTTCCAGATCGTCTCGTTCGACGTCTCTCTTACCGCCGGGAGCGGTTGGATCGTTGACTTTATAAGTCCTTGTCTGCTTGACCGAGGTAAGATCATCAGCATCCGGGAGTTCCTCATCACCCGCTTCAACATAACTCCTTGCGGAGACAGGTTTGGCTTGATGTGTTTTGAAGTATCGAGCGACATCTATCGATACAGCTGTTTCAGGATATTTCGTCGGATCACCTAAAGTGAGTGGTCCTGTGTAAGTATTATACTCTCTTGTTACTTTGACTACAGGTGTTGCGAGAGCTTCGATGGCTTCCGCTATAGTACCAAATATCCCATCTAAGCAACTTTCTGTGAAGGATCTCAGGAGCTTCTCATTTTCAGCCTACCAATAATTAGTATTGCAATAAAAGATATCAGAGACGCAGTAGACCAACCTTAACCAAATCTTTATCCTCCTCCTTGAACCCAAATTCCGCATCATCAAAATCAACCCCTCTAGTTTCATGTCAGCAAGTGAACTCAACTTACGAAAAGCGACTTACATGACGACTAGTTTTATATCGTTCCTACTGATTTCCTTGGCAATATCATCAAGCTCCTCTCCATGCATAAACCCTTTCCCATCAGTAACCAAAACAATCTTCCTAGCAAATTTACCTGGCTTTCCAGACTTCAACGTAGTATGTTCTTTAATCATTTCCACCGCAACTACAACTGCTGATACAGCATCTCCAGCCTCAGTACCATTTGGTTTAATAACCTCTTGCATTTCCTCCAAATCTGTCATCTGGAATTGCCCAAGAGGCTTCAATACGGATATATTTTCATATCCCTGTTCTCCGCTGCGTTGTAAATCATTGTTGGTTTCATCAGTACGAAATCCAACAATACCAACGCCATCAGTCTTGTGGTCAGTAGACATGGTCAGCGTGACTTTATCCCATACGTATCGCATGCCATATTCCAGATCAGTTTCCTCGCGTCCATTGTGGCATTCTCCGAGAGTTTTGCCTAGGTCCACGACGTAGACGGTTGCTTGTTTTTCGGTCATGATGTGAGGACTTAGTTTGAGTGTTTACATGAGGTAGAATTCTAAGCAAAAGGAGGCTGATTTAAAATCCAATAATATTTTAATCGCGGTTCGAAATGGAGTGACCAGGCAGACGCGCCCTGGATCCACAAGAGTTCAAAGAAAGCGCGACATCACGTGGAACGGAACTCGGATCTTCGCAACATCCTGTGAAAATGAAGCCGTCATCGTGTGATAAAGTGGATATCAGGCCATCTACGGAGTATAATTACGTTCCGGATTCGAATCACCACTCTCATATAACATTTGTTGACGTTGCATACACGATTCTATTGACTTCCCATAGATTTCTACAATCAAATATTCAAAATGCCAGACCTTTCAATCCTCAAAACTCCCGCTCCATACCATATCATAACGTGTGTATCCCTCCATCCCCTCACGCAACACTTTAACATTTTTCCTTCTAGCTATGGAACTCTCCTCGGCACCCAATTTTTCCAATCCTTCGTCAACGGCATCGTAGCCTTCAGATCACTCCCTCGACCCCAATTTTCCGTCCTCCAACAAAACATCTTCCCAATCTACTTTGGTATCCAAACTGCTCTCCCAGCCGTCCTAGCTATCACTTATCCGGGCTCGCGCACACATCTTGGGACTGTTTCCGGGATTTCCGGAACGCTTGCCGAGGTCAATAGATGGAGCGTGTTGGTACCATTGGCTACGATGTTTATGACAGGATTGGCTAATATGGTGGTCATTGGGCCTGCTACCACGAGGCTTATGAAGGAGAGGAAGCATCAGGGTAGGTTCCTTTATTGAGCGGATTTCGAGCACAGGCTAGAGGATGTTGGAAGGGAAGTTTGGAGAAATGAGTATGAAAAGGAGGCTAACCATCATATGTATAGAAACAAAAGATGGAAAGAAATCTTATGATGCAGCACCACATTCAAAAGAGATGCAAAGGTTAAACAAGGCATTTGGGAAAATGCATGGGGTTTCCTCGTTGGTGAACTTGGTATCTTTCCTTGCTACAATGTGGTATGGTGTTTCACTTGCAGAGAGATTGCAATAGATGAATATGCAATCATCTGGCCCGTGGGTGCATGAGCTAAATTTGTAGTTTTGCACACAAGAGCGCTTGTAAATAGCTGGAATGGGGGTGTAGAAAAATGTTGAGCACTATGGCATGTTAGAAGCTGCCGAATTAATTCAATGATTCTCTGGATTGCGTTTGTGTAATGATAATCCGAAGAACTGGATGGGCGAGGGACGGATAGTTTTCGCCAAGAAGATCGGTACTTTTGAAGAAATCATTAGTGATCATAAAGCCGCCTCTTAACCGATACATCTTAATTGCTTTTATCCTAGCACTGAACACAGCTACCTATCCACAGAAAGTAAATTATTCATGTATCAACTGAGGGCAAGCATATTCCTACAAACTCCCATATTTCAAGCCACCTACAAATCTGGTATTCATAGGCCTACCGAGCCAAATCCTCCCACACCAATTACCAATTCCTATCATGACACTGAAAGTGCAACAGCACACCAAACTTTCTCATGTAATATACAACGGCAAGGTGACTATCCCTCATGCATATTTGCGCAACTGTTTGAGATATTAGTAAGTGGACACTTTTTGAAGGGGCAAAAAGGAGACTTACATCAAGCGTCAAAGTTTTCGAGCTATTGACCTCCTGATCTCTGAAAACACCAACCAAACTCTCACTTCCCTGAAACAATCCCGTCTTTAAACTAATGACGATAAATTGCATTCCAGGCCCTGCGTGCTCCTTGATATAATTTCTAATTTTCTCCACGTTTGCGTTATCAAGAGCAGCATCAACTTCATCTAAAACAAAAAATGGAGAAGGTTGATAACTATGAACTGCGAACAATAAGGCCAAGGCTGCCATAGTCTTCTCACCACCCGATAGATGTTCCATGTCACGGAAACGTTTGAGTGGTGGCATGGCATGGTATTTGATTCCAGAGAGATACGGTGCATCGCTGTCTTCAATGTCAAGATACGCCTGACCGCCCAGAGGGAAAGTAGCTGAGCGTGTCAGATCTTTGTAAACGTGAGAGATCTGGTCGGAAATATGTGCGAAAGCTTTGTTGAAGCGATCATATCGTTTCTCTTTGATTTCGTTGAAAGCATCACGAGTAGCTTTTGCAGCGTCGCGAGCGGCGGTGAAGTCTTTGTCAGTATCTCTAAGGCGTGTCTCGACAACATCCAGTCGCTCGATCGCGCGCATGTTAGGATTGAGTTTCTCAAGTTCTGAGTTGAGGTTAGAAATCTTCTCTTGCAGTTGCTCCTCAACTTCTTCATCATCGGGCTTTTACGTGTTAGCATGTGCATTTTGACCTATTGCGAGCCACTTACGTTTTTCAGCTCATCACCAAGCTTATCAAAATCCACACATATGCCATAATCATTGATCATCTCTTCAGGAACTTGGTCACCTTCATCAACATCCATGGCGTCGGGATCCTCTTGTTGCAAGCTTTCGTTCGCAGGGAGACTATCCAAAGATTTCGACCCTGCTGCTAATGGAATGGCTATTTGTTCCATCTTGCAGCGTCGCAACAGAGCATATCGATTCGCGCTAGTCCGTTGAGCTACTGTCTCCAGAGTCGTGATAGATTTTGTACGCTCATCAATTCCCTTGCTCGCCTTTTGGAGGTCGTGCCTTGCGACGTTGACTTTATCAGTCTTAGCCGCGAGCTTTTCTTTTTGTTTCTGAAGGGCATCCTCGAACTCTGTAACGGCTGCTCGGTCCACATCGATTGCCTGTGCAAGTGTTTCTTTTTCTGCCTCATACTCCTCAATATCGGATCCCAGCTTTTCAACGTTATTCTCAAGGTCGGCCAGACGGTTCTTGATATCCGCCAGATAATTGTCTTCCCAGGTCACCTGGCTTTTCAACGTTTGTTTTTGTTTCTCGAACTCATTCTTTTTCTCCAAAGCTTCTTGCTCGAGGCTGCCTTGCTGGGCTTCATAGTCTCTGATATTTGCGTATTCCGTTCTCTTGCAGAAATCGGCGAAGATTTTGTCCGCAACCTTTGCGATAGCTCGTTGAAACTCCTCCACCTTTCGCCGGAGCTTTTCAACTTCAGCTCTCTTTTCTTCGTACTTGGGCCCCACTTCCTCTAACTGGCTTTTTTCATGTTTTAGCTTTTTTTGTTCGCTGGCAATGTTCTTCTCAAATTCGGCCAATTCAGTCTGCTCATAAGTAGCTTTTTGGTTTAAATTGTTGATGGCGTTCGCCAACTGTTCCTCCTCTCCCGTTCTTTTCTTACTGGCATCGAGAGCCCTGATCTCACGGTCGTATTTCTCGGCCATAGCCTTGAGCTTATCCATCTCGGCGTCACCGAATGCGCGTTTGTTACCACGACCGTCAGGAACACGACCACCAGTGATATTACCAGCTTTGGCGATCATAACACCATCCAGAGTGACAGCCTTCACTTGGAGCTTCTTCCGGTAACAAATGTCCTTGGCCGTTGCAATATCATCACAGACAATTGAGCTTCCACATGCGTAAGACATAGCTCTTTCGACAGATGAGTCAAAATCAATCGTATCAATAGTCAATCGAGCTTTAGCTAATCCTTTCAACGAAGAGTTTGTTGCGTTGACCTTGATATTATCTAAAGGAATGAAAGTCATTGGTGGCTTTTTGCCATCTTTCAAGTATTGGACGCACTCAGTGCCAGTCTTCTCGGTGTCGACAACGATGGAGTCAAAGTCCCGGCCAAGAGCCGTGCTTACTGCTTCTTCGAATTTCTTCTGCTTTGGCTTGCAAAGGTCGCCAATGCGCCCTTTCACCCCGGGAAATATTCGTTTGATTTCAGTTATGGTTTCCTTGACCCTTCTTTCCTTTTCGCTCTCTCTTCGACCATATTCACCCTCCCTAATCTGTTTGTAAATTTCCTGGAGTTTCTCTTCAAGGTCAGTTTTCAATTGGTTGTAACGGACACGCTCCGACTGAAGGGAGTTATGCTCTTTTTTCTTGGCATTCCTATCCCTGGTTGTCTCTGCAATTGATTCCTTGAGATTGTCTCTTCGTCTTACGCTGGTGTCTAGCTCACTCTGAAGCTTATCCACCGAAGCCTGCGCAGCCTCCATCTTGCCTTTCAAGCTATTCGCCGTTACTTCGTCTGTTTTCAGTTGACGAACTAGATTATCTAGTTTGGCTTGGTCCTCTGATGTCTTCTTGACGACTTCTGACTTGAGCTTCTGGTACTCCTTGAAATCGTCGTCGCTCAACTGTTTCCCCTGTTTTTTGAGGGTTTCCTGCCACTGGACCTCGAATTGTTTCTGTGCCTTCTCAACCAATGCAAGGTCTTTTTTGAGCTTCGCAATATCCTTAGACTTGTCGTCCCGGTCTCCTTTGACGAGGGCCGCCTTCCTTCTCAAAATTTCGATTTCAGATGTGACAGTTCTGATTTTCTCATCAAATGGTACCAAATGAACTTCCTTCTCCTCAATATCCTTTTCCTTCCGCTTGATGTTTCGCTCTATCCTGCTGGCATCCTTACTAACTTTAGCCTGTTCTGCTCTCGCTGCGTCCAGGTTACTCTGATACTTTTCCACGCCACGGCGGTACTCCTTCAAATTTTCCTGATGTTCTTGAATGCTAGCGCTGGACTCGTCCATGACTCGTTGAAAATGGTACAATTTCCATAGGATTTGTTCGACAATGGCCTCATCCTTTTCCACAACTTTTTTCTGGAAAGCTTCAGCTTCTTTCTTTTGCTCTTGATACTGCTTGATTTCGGAATTGATGCCACGTCTACGATGGAGGCTATAATTTTGCTCATCTGCTGCTTTCTCCGCCTCATCCTGCAATCTTTCATATTCTGCTTTGTATTCCAGACTGCCCGATATTTGTTCAATGAGGCGGGTCAAGTCTTTCGGTGATTGCGACGCAATAGCTTCGACATCTCCTTGGAAAACCAAAAAGTTTCGAGCCTTGATTAGGATATTTTCGGATTCTAGGGCGTCATTGTATGCTTGTGCGGTGACGACACGGTCATTGATACGATATTCACTGGCACCTTGGTTTGTGATTGAACGCTTCCATTTTTGTTCCTCGCCCTGGTCATCCTCGTAAACAGCCATAACCCATGCGCTTTTGGGATCATTGCGCGCCGGTTTCTGAGACTGCGATTCCTCATCTGAACCTTCTCCATCTCCATTCGCATGTCCATTCGCAGCTGGGTCAACCGCGGATCCATCATCGTTGATTTTCGAGGTTTTCAACACTCTTCCGCGGTATACGAGATCCCGTAATTGTGCAGATCGTAAATGGGATGATTTGATGCCCAGAACGAAAGAAATCGCGTCCATACTGTCAGCCATGTTAGTAGTTTTCGGACGAAATCTTGCGGATCACATACGAATTCGATTTGCCGGAGCCATTAGGACCAATTATAGAAGTGAAATATGAATCCCCAAACAGGAGAACATGGTGACCCTTATAGGACTTGAAATCTGCATACAGTCAGCTAAAGCAATGGCATATATAGTGCGACCGGCCTACTGAAAAGTTCAAGACGTTGGAGTTTCCCCATCTTGATTTACACGCGTTGATCGTAGCGGGGTGCACGCGTTAGGGAGGAAGAGTAACGGCGAGAGCAAGACCCAATCACGAATAAATGTACTCGAGTAGACGATCGGTTGTGACGAATTGATATAAACCTCCAGAGCGATCCGAGATATGCCCAGGATGATTGAATGGGGTTGTATAGAAGGGTGGTTAGAAATTCCTCCAACTTCAACTTTCCCAGCTGTTCAGCATCACAAAAAGTCGCGGACGCGAATTATGGATCACATGACTGACATCAGAGGGAACTGCATTTCGTGGCTGCTACTGGCCAACGTATGTTTGCATGATAAGATAGATGCTAATGAATTCTTCACGCAATTGGCAGGGCAGGGTTGTGACGCTGTCTTGAAATACCTAAAGTAGCAATGACGAAATGTGTTCCCCAGATCAACCTCAATGTTTGATTGGTGGCAGTGGCAGTTCCAAGGCCTGGACCGAAAAAAGTTTATGAGTTGCTGTTGTACACAATACTTACTTTTTTATTTGAAACGGACAACGAATATAACAAGATAAAAAGTAAGAGGGTATTTAAAAGGCATTTTCACCATTTTCACCATCTTCGTCCTTCACATTTCATCCCTCGAATCTAATCTGAAGAATAACAATAAAGAATCTCTTGTGATCAAGCAAAAATTCACCAGATTTGAGATAGTCTTGTTTACATCTCCATATCAGCATCCAACCACATTGCTCGAAGCAAGCACGACCTTGCTTCCTTTAACGTCAATCACTCACGAAAGAGCTGATCCAGAAGAAAATCCCTCTATTTAGAGGCTCATTTCGAGTCAAGAAATCCCTAAGCATCTAGCACCTAAGCACTTAATTGCTCTTCGATAACGTATTATCTTTCGCCATTCGTTCATGTGCGTCGACTAGACGGCGTTTATCACTACCTAGACATTCTTGAAATACTTTACCCTCAGCACTGCCATTTCCTGTGAGTTCTCATTGTCGTTATCCATTTGTGATGTTTGGTGCATAGCACAAGTTCTATCTACGGACAGATGGCTGATTTAGCTCTAAGAAGTGCCTCTGTCTTCCGGCGCATTTGTTTTTACGATTCCGTTCACGTCCGTTCACGTTCAATATCAGAAATGACTGAACCCATACCCATACCAAGCTCTAAATCGGAACCTGCACTCGAGTCAACTTCACTATCTTCCGAGCAACATGTTAGCGGAGGCTCACCCCAAGAGGATAGCAAAACATCTACATTCTCAACCTCGGAGAATGGGAGTCCTCATGTTTCGAGGCGCCCCTCTGGTTCTGCGAGTAGCACATATCAAGAAGATTGGGAACCATGGCCTCCACTCGATAAGATCACCGTCTTTGACTTACTAGAGAACTTTGCTTTGCCCCAACAACTAGAAAAGATACAAAGGAATCTATCCGCACAATCTCAAAAGGTTCGAAAGCAACGAGAAAAGCTGAAGACAACCTCAAGTTATGCGAAGACCCGAGTTGTTGAAGAATGGCGAAAGCGTGTTCCCACTGCCGATGAGCAGCTCGACAGATATAAAAAGAGGATGCGCGATAGTGTCGATAAACTCGGGACGCGCTGGAATGATACGAAATCAGTGACGATTAGAGAAAAGGTCTCCTTCATCTGTGGAGTCTTAAATGTTCTCATCAGTGGCTACTTGATCGGAGGATATCCTGAGTTATTCCATTGGTGGTACACTGCCCAATTAATGTACTTCATGCCCATCCGCTTTTACGCCTACCATAAAAGAGGATACCACTACTTCCTCGCAGATCTCTGTTACTTTACCAACTTTCTCTGCTTTCTCTCGATATGGGTCTTCCCACAATCGAAACGATTATTCATCAGCACTTACTGTCTTTCCATGGGAAACAACGCGGTAGCTATAGCTATGTGGAGAAATTCTATGGTGTTCCACAGTTTTGACAAGGTTACGTCTCTTTTTATTCACATCATGCCCTGCGTCACGCTTCATTGTCTGGTCCATCTCATAGACCCACCCTTCCAACAATCGCGTTTCGGTGCCATCTATAATATACGCACATCCCCAGTAGGGTCTAGTACTCATTACGGTCTCCTATCCATGGCATTATGGTCGTCTATTCCTTATGCGGTATGGCAGCTTTCCTACCATTTCCTCATCACTGTCCGCCGCCGCGAGAAGATTGCTGCAGGTCGTCCAACATCATTCACCTGGCTGCTAAAATCTTACTCCAAAGTATGGATTGGCAAAGCGGTTCTCGCCCTTCCGGATTCTCTACAAGAGCCGGCATTTATGCTTATTCAATACTCATATGCGTTGCTCACTATGTTACCATGTCCTGTATGGTTCTGGTATAGATATGCATCTGCGTCGTTCCTCATGGCTGTATTTTGTTGGTCTGTTTATAACGGCGCAAATTACTACATCGAGGTCTTCGGAAAACGTTTCCAAAATGAGCTTGAGGAGATGAAGAGAGAAGTCCAGAAATGGCACAACACTCCTGAATTAACGACATCCCCTTTATTGACACCTAGAACCGAGGGTGGAGAAATGCTTGGTGATGGTGATGAGACAAAGAGACCAGGTTATCCAAGAAATAACAGTTTAGATAAGATCCCGTTACTCAACGATCAAATAGGCAGCACAGGAATAGACGGAGGTGCGAAAGATGTCGCAAAGCCAAGGAAGTTAGGCGGAATGCCAGCTTAATTGTGCAAGCGGGCATGATTAGTATTAGTTTTGGATCGCTGGTCTTGAGCCTAAAGGCTCATTCCTTCTGTTGTTAATTTTTGGTTCTGCTTTGACTTTTGGGGAAACGATGATGAGATTTGCTTTACGGGATGGAATAGTGGAAGGGTAGCGAGAGATATACCACACAGAAAGGCAGTTGGGAGTTAGGTGTTTACGCATACACATACACATACATAATGAATCTCCTAATGCAAGCGAGTGAATACAAGCCTAATATCTATATCAAATCTCCCCAACATCGTCTTGATCATTACAATCTAAAACCGGCAGAACAAGAACACACTTATTTCGGTGCGTCATTGTACGTCCATATTCATCTACATCTCATGGATCTTCTCTCCTCTTTCACTCTTATTCTCTGTCATGGGAGATACATCGCCGTTGCTATCCATCCTCCCAGGAATTATATCCAGTCCCACCTCCCGGCGTACAGCTTCCATTCTCTCGAGATCGCCACGGCCGACGCCTTCGCTGCCGAATACTAGGTCCATTTCCTCCACTTTAAAATATTAGCACACAAATCTCATCGTTTCCATTTTCATTCCACATCTCTCCTCCTCCTCAATGCAGGAAAGGTTGATAAAGATAGATTAAAAGAAAAATGATGGCAAAAGCAAAAGATTGGTAAACAACACAACACAACCCAAAACAAAACAAAAATCTAGAAAAGAATACTCACAGCCCAATCTTTTCGTCTCAGGCACACCCCACCAAATAAAGGCCGCGCCGCCGTAGGTTAATAAGCCGAAGATAATATAGGTTCCGTAAGATATACCACTTAACATATCAGGTGTTACTTGTCCGACGATAAAATTATTCATCCAGTTTGAGGATGCGCCGAGAGCGATGCCGTAGGGTCTGTTGGATAGGGGCCAGATTTCCGCGACGAGGATCCAAGCGCAAGGTCCCCAACTATAACCAAAGTGGATCACGAAGAGCCTGTGAAGAATTCGATTAGAAGATATTATTAGGTAGACTAAGGGAGAGATAGGAAGAGGGAAACACAAACCAAACCATAGCGACAGCAGCCCATCCCGCAGCTTTATGCTCGTCCCATGAGTCTCTATTTTTCGCTACGATTATCGCGATGATTATGTGGCATGTCGCCATGCCGATGGCACCAATGGTGAGAATGGGTTTGCGACCTAGTTTGTCGATGTATAGGACGGAGGGAATGGTCGCGATGAACATTACGATGCCGACGACGCCGGTGGCAAGGAGAGAGACCGTGTTGCTGGAGAGACCGAGGGAGGAGAAGATTGTGGGAGCGTAGTAGAGAATTGCCTGGGAGGAGTAAGTTTATGGATGGTTTTGCGGGTTTTGATGACCTGAGAATATAGCATAGGGGGGAGGGGTAATACATACATTAATACCAGTCCACTGCTGGAAAAACATAGTGACTGTGGCGACAATCACTCTCTTAAACATAGCTTTCGTCCTAAACAAACTGCCCACGGCCACAAATTGCAACTTTGCAGTATTTATCCAAGTCAATTCTTGGAGACCAGGCCATAATTCCGCAATCGATCTCCGCTCAAACAAACTCTGAGCTTTGATTTCCAGAAACTCTATTTCTACTAAGTCATGTTCCTGAGGTAAATCTCTCAATCTCGCTAGTACTTTTCTTGCCTCCTCTTCTCTCCCATGATGTACTAGCCATCTAGGCGAAAAAGGCATGAACAAAATACCAATGAACAGAATCACAGCTGGGAAGAGCTGCAAGCAGATAGGTACCAGCCATGCTGCGTCGGATTGTGACGCGCCGGTCCCTCCTATGTAGTTTGTGCCGTAGTCGATCCAGAAAGATATCATGATGCCGGCACAGATGGCTAGTTGTTGGAGGGCAATGAGAGAACCGCGTACTTCTGGGGGGGCAACTTCGGCGTTGTACATTGGGACGATCATGCTGAGACTTCCGACGCCCAGGCCGGTTATAAAACGACCGCCGAGGATGGCAGAGTGGCCCGCTGATATGGCGGTGGCTTGGATTATGACGCCTACGATGAAGACGGCTGTGTTTGAACGGGAATTGTCAGTTTGCTTTTGTAATTCTGTTTTTTTCCTCTGGCCGACTGAGACTTTTTATTTTTAGATGCCGAGGATTTGGGATGGAAAGAAGGGAATATACCAGTTGCGATCAAAATCCCATACTTCCTACTAGCAGCCTCCGCCATAAATCCACTCAGGAGTGATCCTAGCCAAGCACCCAATTCCAAAATACTTGTTAACCACCCTTTTCTACTTTGATCTGCTGGATCTGTGCTATCATAATTTCCCATATGGGACATGAATGAGTTCATGGTGAGAACACCAGAGAAGACACCTTGGTTGTAGCCCTACATTTTATACACCATGATTTAGTTCTGCAACTCGATTTTCTTTGGGACAAGAAGGTGTCATGGAGTCACGTACATATAATAGTCCTCCAATGCAAGCGAACAAGGCAATACTGAAAACACGAAGGTTTTTAACTAAAGCTGCTGGGCCACTGGCACCCATAAGCTTTTGGCGACGTTGGAGAGCCACATCATGAAGGCCCTGGGCAGGAGCTCCGACAGCCATGGCAATGAAGTTTTTGTTATATGAAAGTTTAACGACAGAGAAAGACAGAAATGAGAAATTGCAGAGGGACATATAAAATCAGGAAACGGCTTATATTTGTATTTTTCTCACTACAGTAATTCATCCATATGCTAGACTTCATAGGCCTATATGATGTACGCATTATGAAGCTGCAAGTATGACTCTGGATAAATCAATGGCTAAATGCATAAAATATGCGATTTCTGTATATCATGGCTTCATTTATACAATCATAGGATTTCAGCGATGAAAATAACTTTGTCATGATGCGGGATGTTGGACTTTGTGGTCATCATTCTTCCCCGCATCCGGGGACATTGTGGAGATGTTAGAGATTTAGGCTGATAATAAGATTGCGGGGTTGGTTAAGGGTTGAGAGAAGTTTGATGGATAGTGTATTATTTATATTGGGTGAGATATAGCTTTACGTCAGTGTGGTATAGGATTATCAGTCTGACGCGGTGATGGATTGGATATAGTAGTTGTGAGATGGGGAATGATAAGCATCAGCTGCATGATTTATGCACTAGAGGAGTGAGTACCTGGTCTATGGCTCTTCTACCACTGGCAAATCTAGACTGCAGAAGTTTTGTGCAACGAGGGCTGATTTGTAGTCTTTGAGTATTTGCTTTCGCACTTATGGAAGTAAAGACTCAATCAAAAGAGCTTAGACTTCGGAGAGATCGATTTGATGCGGGAATGTGCACAACATATAATGATAAATGGAAAATGATTGAATGTACTAGCTACATACCTTGATACCAATCCTTCTTTCAACCGAAGTTGTAGGCTTAAAAGCTTCAGAGTATAATAAGAAATGCACTAGCTTCTCTAATAATCATGTATGATATTATTTAAGCAAGTGTAATACTCTAGGTCGATGTAACTGTATATATGCTAAAGCTGTATATATATACAGTGACTGTTATGATAATTAATACAAGTTTAAAACTTGAAATACAAAAGAAAAGTATTATCTTGTATTAAATATATATATTTACAGTCAAAAGGTGGCAATACTCCAAATTCCATGAACTTGTATCTTTACCTGCCTATATACATACACACTCATAAATAGTCTATTCAATGTTTGAAAAGCTCCGCAAGTACACCAAAATAACTTTATCATACATTCATGCTACAGTACAGTCCGTAAGCGAAGGGTGGATGTTGATGCACAAGAAAACGCACGGACTCTCTATCGGAACATACTAATACTTTTTTCCGATGTTAAGTTGAGCCTGATCCCTGGAAGAAGCTAATCCTATTTGGAAGGAGCAACCACCTCGCGACTACCAAAGTAAAGATGTTGGCTACATTGAAGGGAGTCAGATCATGATAACCTTCATATCCTGATAATATTTTCGTGTAATTCACTCTTGCCATATCACTCAATTCATTCATCAAGAGAAAGACGCGCAATATTGTGCCTTTACACCATTTGATACCTAATGCGCCTCGCCCCTCACGCAAACCAACACTATTCATCATCACCTTTAGCTGCCACACTAGTGGCACAAGCTCACCTTTGTCCACACTTTTCACATTCCCGTCGCATAAATACTTCAGAGTGAATTAAATATCAACATGGCCCCGACGCCAATACCCGGAACCCCCAGAAGAGCTGCAAGTGGCTCAGGCACAAGGTCTACCCGCCCAAAATCCGCATCAGCCTCAAATCGTCGGTTCGAAAATTCAATTATCAAAAATCCAAACACGGAGCCTCCCAAAAAAGGTCGATACGTGCCAGGCGGTCCCGGTGGCGGTGGCAGATACGTGGACGAGAACGGCCAAGATTTACTACTAGTCGGCGGTACAGGACCAGGGGGTTATAATTATATTGGACCTCGCGGTCGTATAGGACGCGAAAACGCTGCGAACGGAGTCCAACCGGTCGTTTACCCCCGCAGAGATAATCGAACAACAAGAACAAGAACAGTACTTCCTCGCGCACAACAGCCCCCCATGGCCACCCCCAGCAGATTTGGATCGTCGTCGCAGGCTGCCGCAGCTGTCGCCCAAAATGATGGATACAAGCCACGAGAAGAACGAAGCTGGGAGGAGTTTCACCCCGATCTAGATATAAACCAAGAGATGATATGTTTCAGTCAGGAAGCAGTAGAGGGAACAACGAACTCGGGACCAGCAACACCCGCCGGCGCATCGCAATCAGCAGAAGCATCAGTGAATGGTAAGCCTGGGCAAGCAAACGATAATGGTGAAAGTGGCACAATCGCAAGTCCAAATAGTGCAACCCCTATTCCCTTACCAACCAGCATTTCAATACCATATACCATTCCCGGCACACCAGGTGGAGGTAAGAGAAGACCTGGTCGTCCTCCAAAGAATCCCGAAGCATTCTACGCTGCAAGGGCTGCCGCGAATCTTGGAATACCTATGGGCCTAACTACCCCGAAGACACCAAAAACACCAAAAGGTATACATGTTGCGAACAGTACTGCTAAGGAAAAGTTGACCCTACCCCAACCGTCGTTCCGACTAACAAACACTCTCAAAAAATTCGACACGCCAGCATTCGACCAATATGTCGATAAATCCATGGCGAACGTGGGATATCAGGAAAGCGACGAATTTATTCGGCCCGAGCAAGAGTTCATAAAGGCTTCTGATATCAATTTCAACGAAGATTTGGATGGAATAGGAAGCACCCTTGGTCGTGTTGAGTATGACATGGATGAAGCAGACGATAAATGGTTGCAACAATATAACGAGAAGCGGAAGGCTGAAGGCGTTGATGAAGTTCCTCGACACATTTTCGAAGTTACTTTAACCAAGATAGAGAAGGACTGGCACAATCTAGAACGAACTATACCAAAGCCGAATCCAAAACCTCCTCAAACCCATCGTCCCAGATCTAGCTCAGCTGCTGCAGTTAATGGCGAGGCCCAGGTCGGGGAAGAACAAGATAGCAAATGTGCTATCTGTGATGATGGAGATTGTGAAAATACCAATGCCATTGTCTTTTGCGATGGTTGCGACCTAGCCGTTCATCAAGAATGCTATGGTGTTCCCTTTATCCCTGAAGGTCAATGGATGTGCAGAAAGTGTCAATTAATTGGACGTTCTACTCCCGTAAGTCAAACCAAGGTTCTTATCACCACTCTCAATGCTAATACATCTTTTAGACCTGCATTTTCTGTCCAAACACTGATGGGGCGTTCAAACAAACAAACGCTTCGAAATGGTCACATTTACTTTGTGCAATGTGGATTCCCGAAGTCTCTCTCGGCAACACTACATTCATGGAGCCAGTTATGGAGGTTGAGAAAGTGCCAAAGAGCAGATGGAAGTTGAACTGTTATATCTGCAACCAAAATATGGGCGCATGCGTGCAATGTGGCAATAAGGCCTGCTTCACAGCGTTTCATGTCACTTGTGCTCGCAGAGCTCGCCTGTTTTTGAAGATGAAGAATAACCATGGTACACTGGCAGTTCTGGATGGACATGCTGTTCTGAAAGCTTTTTGCGATAAACACTCGCCCCCGGATCATGCTCGGGAAAACGACACTGTCGCCGCTACTGCAGAAGCCCGGAGGTTCTACAAGAAGACTATGCGTGGACGCGTATGGGCTGATTCCAATGAAGCGGCAGGTATGTTGGCTCTAGCGCATCGCAAAGCTGGAAGACACCCCGAGGCTGCGGAGCTGAATGGTGCTCGTGGATCATTGCTGCAATACACCCAAGATATTCAGTCTGAGGAGCCAATCAAAGGTGTCTGGAAACTTCCTTCGGGCGCTCCGATCATTCCGAAAGTTATCTTCAACTCTGTTGAGATGTCATTGCAGCGTTATAATCTTCGCAGGCGTAGGGAGTGGACTGCAGATTGTTGTAAGTATTGGACACTCAAGAGAGAGGCCCGTAGGGGTGCAGCTCTATTGAAGCGATTACAACTCCAAATGGAAAGTTTCTCTTCTATGGAAATCACCCGGCGCAACTTCTCAGGTATGGGTCACGTTGGGAGGGAAAGACTTACACGCCGTATTGGCTTCGCTCAACTTCTGCTCAAAGACATCAACAAGCTTCGTGAACTTGCTGGAGAAGTTAAAGAACGGGAACTTAAGAAGTTGGAGGCTGCAAGAGTCGAGAAAGATGCTGTCGATACGATATACTTCCCTGTTGCACATTTACTTCCCCCGGTCATTGAAAAGGCTTTGCAGTAAGGTTTGCCTGATTGTGGATGGTGAAAAAAAGCTAACGGGATATAGACTCGATAGCAAGAAGGCTTTTGCCGCTGGACTCAATCGACTCAGTGAGAAGCTCAATCAACGGTTTTATACTACTACAGGAGCGTTTTCGAAAGACTTTGGTTCGGCGATCAATATTGCTATCATGGACGATGCTCAACAGGGTGAACAGAAAGGAAATTCGGCTGGGGAAATCGAAAGGACGTTCACTAAAAAGGCCATTATCGAAGTCCGAGATCGTCGTAAACTCGGAAAACGCATAGTCAAAGCTGTTCAGCCTATGTTAGAGGCTGCAATTCGAGCCGAGTGTGATGTGGTTAAGACGACGCCTGAGGATCAGCTAAAAGTGTTGAATACCTTACTCGAAAACTGTTTACTTCCTCCTGAAGGTTTGAACGGCTCACTTGATGCGTTCGCAGACGTTGGAGCATTGGAGCCATCGCAAGATGAGGACATGATTGATGTTGCGCAATCAGGACAAGTTGCTTCTGAGGCTTTAGAGAATGGCGTTGTACCACGCTTGGGATCTCCCGATGCCAGAGCTGAAGATATCGACACAGATATGCCAGATGTCGATGCCAGCGCCCACGCCGAGCATGATGTTGAGGATGTTATTCATGTCGCGCCTGCTGCTACTCCTGGTACAGAACACATGATAGATCCGCAACTCCTTGACAGCGGCATCGAACAAGCCACTATAAATGGTAATGCTAATGGTATTACACCACCTGATACCAACGGGTACACTTCTACTCCAGAGGATATTCAACTTACTCCGCCAACACCACCAGTTTCGAATGGTGAAAATGTTACAGATGGTGCAGACGTCCTTACCAATGGGGGCATCCCCTGGTATGTCAAAGATTTCCAGCCTGAAGGAACAAGCGTCTTGCAAGAGGTTTCGGTTGAGAATTCGAATGGCTCTCACGCAAGCGATGACCTCAGCGAAATGGACGATGAGGATGTCAAAGCATTAGCTGGCATTCAAGATGGCCCGAGTGAACAGAATGGGACAACACCAGCCACAAAAGCAAGGAAAGGGAAGGGCAGAAGAAAATTTCGAGGATTCAAGTAATTTGGGTCTATTTTATGGGTTATGATTTCTTTCCAAAGACTACGGCATTTGTATTATATGGGCTTTAATTCTATGAAAGTGTGTTATTAGTGTGGGAGTTCTCTATAGCCAGGTCCGACAAGTTTCGTAGGGAAGCTATGGAGTTATCGGTCAGGTTATCAAGGAAAAGCATCGATGCGTCATGCTTTAACGATGGAGTTTATTTGCACAGGAGGTTAATGTGCTTGGAGGATTATTGTGCTTGGAGGATTATTGTGCTTGAAGGAAAATTAATGCCATGGATTTTGTGCGTTCTGGAGGCTATAAGGAGGGACTTTTGCGATTGGCATGCACAACGAACGCTGGACGGGTAACATACTTTCAAGGGCGCTGGGGGAAATCATATAACACTCACTTTCTTAATGGATGCTGTACGAGTATAGTAGTAGACAGATAGAAGCAATGACATTTTGAAGCTATCCGTCAGTCTCTTTTGCCTCCTGTCACTGGGAAGATTAAGTGCCTAGTATTCAAATTGTGTAATAACTGTTCAGAATTGGAGACAACCTCATACAAGATATTATTGAGTATAAATTTGGAGATTAGATGATATAGATTGCGGAGGTATCTAATGGTATCTCTACCTTGGTTTTAACATTAAGAGGAGTATCGTATCTCGTGTCCTCTTACTACAGAAACTAAGTACAATATAAGATCTATCGTCTTCTACGAATATTATAGTACCATGTACCATGATGATATTTCCCGCATTCCGCCTTTTAACTGGTGGAAAAATAATCAGCCGCATTGATATCAACGTATCAAAGGCGACTTCCTCGGTGACCCATAAAATGGCAGTACCACGACAACTACCCCGGGAAAAAATCTTAATGCTAACAATCCATTTGATGAAGTAAATCCGAGACAGGAACCCCGCCAGCATGGTGGGGTGATCAGCCCTCAAACGGGGAACTTATAACTTCCATACATGCTCCATGAACGGGGAAAACTTGGCGGGTGAAAGAGGAGGTACCTGGGTATTTATACTTGAGAAATCCCTTTCACTTCTTCCTCTCTTCTTCTTCTATTTCCTCATACCATTACTCCCATCATCTATCTGAACTCTCACACTTCTCCGTTCAGAAATCTCAACATATAATCATATTACTTACCCCTCCAAACCTACCCCTCCATCACCCCCATAATAAAACCAAAATGGGATATCCCGAGACCTTTACAGGATTCCAAATTGAAGATCCTGCAAAATGGACCGAGTTTCATAAGAACCAATATACACCTAAGCCATTCGGCGACTTTGATGTCGATATCAAGATTTTGGCCTGTGGTGTTTGCGCGAGTGATTTGCATACTGTTAGTGGAGGGTGGGGTGAACAGAAGTTTCCGCTTTGTGTGGGGCATGGTATGCTTTCCCCACGTTATTCTTAATTTGCTGTTTGGTGTTTTTGTCGATTACTTGATTCCTGTGTTGAATTAGGGAGAGAATCAATCCTACGAGCAAGAAATCAAACAAATAGTTCTGGGGGAAAATGAAACTATACTAATATTCCCAACCCGTGCATAGAAATTGTAGGAGAAGCCCTCCGCGTCGGCCCAAAAGTAACTCTCATCAAGCCCGGTCAACGTGTTGGTGTTGGTGCTCAATCATACTCCTGTCTCCAATGTCGTCAGTGCAAAAATGACAACGAGACATACTGTCTTCACCAACTCGATACCTATGGAGCCGTCTGGCCCGAAACGGGTATCGTTTCCCAAGGTGGCTATGCTAGCCATGTGAGAACTCATGAGCATTGGGTTTTCCCCATTCCAGATGGATTGAAGACCGAAGAGGCGGCTCCTATGTTGTGTGCTGGTTTGACGGCTTATAGTCCTTTGGTTAGAAATGGCTGTGGACCTGGAAAGAAGGTGGGTATTGTGGGATTGGGAGGAATTGGTCATTTTGGTGTTATGTTTGCTAAGGCTTTGGGCGCTGAGACTTGGGCTATTTCGAGGTATGTTGATATTACTACCTCAATTTATCTAGAGATGATTGAGATGATTGAGATGATCTGAGATGAATGTTAAACTAATCCAAACTCCCAAAAATAGAACCCACGCCAAAGAAGCCGATGCAAAGAAACTCGGCGCTGATGGCTTTCTCGCCACAGCCGACAAGGACTGGAACAAAGAGCACATCATGACCTTCGACTTGATAGTCAACACAGCTTCTTCCTCCTCAGGATTCAATTTCTCCGAGTACCTCGAGCTCCTCGACGTACACGGCCACTGGGTATCCGTCGGACTCCCCGAAGGCGAAGGTCAAACGATCGATAACTTTCAACTATTGAAAAACGGTGTTCTCATCGGAGGAAGTCATCTAGGTAGCAGAAAAGAGGTTCTGGCCATGTTGGATTTAGCCGTGGAGAAGGGTATCAATAGTTGGGTTGAGACGATTGATATTAGTGAGGAGGGATTGAAGACGGCCTTGACGAGGTTGCATAATAATGATGTTAGGTATAGATTTACGATGGTGGGTTATGAGAAGTGTTTTGGTACTTAGAATGGGTTATTACTACGTTTGTAAGATTTTATGTAGGCGAGATAGTAAGCTTTACAT